ATATTGAAAAATGTCCATTGTACTTCCTGTATTATTATTTTTATATATTATATATATTATGACTAATATACTTATACTGAAGACGCCTTTTTAGCAAATACGTGCAATTTGGTGAAAGCGTTTTGAAAGTTAAAATCAGGTGACATCAGTGTTGTTCCTAGTTGTACAATTGTACAGAAAATAAAATAAAATTTTAAATTTGGCGCTATTCGCGACCAATCAGTACACCATTGCACATCGGAAATATATTAAACTGAGAAAAAAGAAGAATTTTAATCATCGGGAAGTAGTATGCCATAGTATGTCGATAAAAAACAAGAAGATTAATTAATATGTACAATCGAACGTAAAAGTGTGGACTTCCGATTCGGACATAGTCGTGGCAATATTAAAATGGTGGTCTCCGAATCGGGAGTCCAAAAGTCCTAAAACAATCACTAAATATCGAGTGTAAAAGTGACCATCCGACTTAAATATAAAATACAGTGGAAGAGTGAGGACAGAAGTCCGATGCACGAGGGTGCAGCCTTTCCACTTGAACAAAATTTTAAAAAATAACTTTTCCTCCGAGGATAGTCCTCGGATTAAGCCCATAACCACATTAAAGAAGAAGAAGAAGAAGAAGAAGAAGAACGTAAAAGTGTAAAATTTTGACATTGAAAGTTGTACAATTTAAAAATCCTTAGGAAAAACACTGGTTGACATTGGGGCCTATATTGTAAAAATTAGTTAAAATTAACCCTAGGTTATAAAAATAACAGGATGTTATTTTTAGTTTTAGATTCTGTATTATTTGGTTAAAATTACAAATTAAATACTTTCTTAGGCAACCCATTTACGGTATATTTATAAACATATTTTATTTAATAAAAATAAACTTTTATCCATTAAATAGATGGGTGAAGGTCGACCTTACTTGGGATCTTAGACCATAAAACGTTACATAACCCTATTGTTCAAATTAAAAAAAATATATTGATATATTAATTATTTATTCTTGTAATCCCAGAATCGGTGTCTGTTAATTTTATCGTTGATCGTGATACCTGGCAACACTGCTTTCGTAGCAAGCTCTCTTAACTGGAATTCATCGAAACCACATTTCCAGATCTCAAGAACCGCCCCTCAGAATCAGGCGTACGTATCTAGCGTCAAAAGAAATTATTAAACTTAAATGTTTTAATTCTGAAAAACCCATATTAAAAAGTATCTATCAGCTAGCACTAAACAATCTTACTGCCAACGACTGGAAATTGAAAAAGAGCCCCTTATTAGCAGATGCCTTTACCAATGAAACCACGAATCCAGAAATATCTCTTAATACATTTCCCATATACACTTTATCCTTCGTAACTATCGTGTTTAAGCCAACAGTAATATTACCCTATTACAGTTCATCAAATTTCTAGAGGTGTTCGACGCCCAGACAGAGAACGCGCTACGTGTGACTAAGATAGCTATTGTACAGTCTGCTAAACAAGTTATTTTAAATAGTTTTTAATATTTTTAGGTAATTAAATTTTAAAAGTGTGGAATAGTTTAGGGATTAAATTGGTCTGATTGGACTTTCTTAGAACGTTTTTAAAAGCAGCTAAAGATAGTATGTAGAATTGAAAATAATTATTATGCCATAAAAGGTGTTTTGGAATTCCTTCAACCTTTTGAAATTGAGTCAGAAAATATAAATTTTATAGGATAGCGGAAAATACCTATAATTTTTTTGTAGGCCTTTGTAAATCGTGGAAATAGTTTATATTTTATTTCTACCTTATTAAGGAAAATAGTACCTATTACTAATAACGGTTGTTTCTGAAACATTACTAAAATTTTCAAAATTTTGTTTTTCTACAAAATAATAAACTATACTATTTAGAAAAAAAATTTTCTCTTATAATTTTATAAAAAATAACAGGGGAATATTTACATTTCTTGATCTATTAAACAAAACGATAAATTATCTCGACGAATGACACCATGTTCTAGTACGGAAGCTAGCTTTACATTTTTGTTGGTGGTTTCATGAGTTTCATATCAATTTTTTGTAATTGTAGTTTACACGTACATATACCTCTTAACACTTGTTTGCTTTATTAAAAAAGTGTGTTGTTGTGATTTACGTCAAAATAAGTCAAAAACAACTTGAAACCCCATATAAAATCAAAAAGGAGAAACGGAAAAAAATTGAGCCTGTAAATGAACACAACTCAGAAACAAAAATAGCTATCTAATAATAAAAAAATAAAATTTGATTCTTGTGTAGCTTCATCTATATCATTAACTGTTTTTGGTTTTTTAATGGTTTTTCTTGGTGATGAAAATTCCGATATCTCACGGTTATCGATTCTTTTTTTCTCTCCAGAAATGCGGACGACAGTGTTTTTAGATACTCCTGTGGCTGCAGCAACACGATCATTTACATTTTTAAATGGTATTGAAGGTGAATTAAAGTTTCCTTCTCTTCTCATAAACTCTATAACATTGGCTATTATTTCGCGAGATTGACTGTTAATCACGCGGCCTCTTAATTTGCTATTAAACTCCATACTTAGGTTCTATTAAACTGTAATGAGCAAAAAACACAAACGAAAATAAAAGAAATGTTTTAGCGAAATTTACATCTGACATTTACGTCTGAATGAAATAGTGAAATACTTGATGCGCAGAGTGTACTTTCATTGCGTAAATCCGTCGGGATGCCTGTCAGTAGTGCTTTCTCTGTCTAGCCGTCGAAAGCCTCTAGAAATTTGATGAACTGTACAATGAAATGTTCACCTACAAAAATAAAATTCTTCAATCCATCCTGAGTCGCTTCTTCAATCATCTTTACATTTAAAATCCAGCGAAGGTACTGGTTATGCATTTCACATTTCTAATATCAATTACATCCAATGTAAAATCTCCAATAACTATTCAGTGTACTCTACAGAAACTTTAGCCATTGAACATGCTCTAAAGTGGATCATAGACAGTAAAGTAGCCAAGTATGCTGTTATTATTTCAGACTCTAAATCTGTTCTAAAGGCTATAGATAATTTTAATTTTTTTAAAATACAGAAATCTCAAATTTTATGTAATATAAAAGAATATGTGCATACCCTATCTCTGCTGGATAACAAAATAACCTTTTTGTGGGTAAAGAGTCATTGCGGGATAAAGGGAAACGAAACCGTTTATGTCCTTGCTAAAAGAGCAACCACTCTCAATATCACCAACAGCTTTTTAATTTTTAATGACCTAATTAATTCAGTAAAGAATTAAATACGAACTATTCAAGAGAGACAATGGATGGTTTATACAGAAAAATCTAATAATCATTATAAATTAATTCACCCTACATTGCCACGTCACATTCTACCCAATTCAAACTTCATTATCTCAAGAAAATATGCAGTAACTATTACACCTCTCAAACTTAACCATCTCACCTTCATAAGATTGGTATAAATCCATCGCCATTCTGCTCATGCGACAATATCTCACTTGGGGACTTAAATCATATTTTCTTTTCCTGTGGTAACCATAAACGTTATACCGAATAACTATTACAAACTATAGCTTCAAATCATATTTCCCTACCTTCAACTATTACATCCTTAGCACTCAAAATAAAAATATTTTCGATGCCTTAATTACCTTTTAAAAACAAATTAATATAGATATTTAAAAAACATAATTTTCCTCTTATATGAAAATATAATTTTTACATTCGTAATTATATAAAAGTCTGTGGCAAATGGATCATTCTGATGACACACATACATTTCCAGATGAAATTATAACGCATCGTATTTTAAAACTTTATTATAAAATCAATTTTATTTGAACCAATGTCCGATGTAATCTATGTATGTGATTTTTTGTAGAACCTTGATACTGAATAAATCTTAATATTAAATAAATAATTTTCGTAATATGCATCCATTCACTTCAGGTAGTGTACCTACAATTGGCGCGTTTGAATATCCACATTCGATGCATTTTTTACATCTCGAGCGTTTGTTTATCTACATCGGACACATCTACTACATCTACGTTTGTTTATCCGAGATATAGCTGTCCGGATTACATTTTTACATCTTAATTTGTAATAAGATGTGAATGAGATGTTCGTTCCATGCCAGAAAATAGGTGTTCTGTAAAACCAAGTTTATCGATTTATCCTTTGTTTATAGCGTAAACATAAAAGTGATTAGATTGTTTAATTTTTGTTTACATTTCAAATTTAGGTTGATTTCTAGTCTCAAAAGTCAAATTTAAAAAGCATAAACTTCTAACTTGTCATTGTCATTTTTTCACGTGACCAATAAAGTCTAGAGCGTTTGTTTATTACATCTACATTTAAATCTAATCCTCTATCACGTAATAAAAAATTCACATCTCAGATGCATCCGATGTGGATATTCAAACGCAGCAAATCACACCTCGATTGATGTTTCCACGGTATCATTTCTGATTATCTTCTAGAGCCAAACATCTGATTTGAATCCGCTCCTGGTAAAAGTACCTATTAGTTTTGAAGTTAATAATAATGTAAATATTTTTTTTAATTTGTGCCATTATTGCATTACGTTTTCTTAAATATATTCAATATTTTAACGTTTATTTATTTTAAAACAGTTTATTATTTTAATTTATGGATACAATTTTACGTTAATTTATTTTATAACTATATTATTTAGACATTTACTTAATTACTAATTTATGTAGATGTTAACTATATAGATCTGCTCACAGCTATATCACCATTTCAACTGACTGCAACAGTAACACAACCCATTTACATAAAACGGTGAAGGCTCTCGATGTTTCAATCGAATTCTTTGAATAATATTTCGGTATGGCCCCTTCGGCAAAAGTTGCAATTTAGTATCACTCATTGGACATTTTACTATGTTCTAGAATTTTTAATATTTATCCATTCAAATAATAAATATTCCTGAAAAGTTTTGTTATATATTTAAATGTTTGTAACATTTTATAGTTTGTATGTGTTGTTTCAGAGCCTCAAATAATATTGATGGCCCATCTGTCTGGCAAGTTACAAAACCTATTGGCCATGCTGAAGAACCCCATTGGGATGGAAGAAAAAATATTCTGTATTTTGTAAATATACCAGCTGGAGAAGTCTACGCATATCATTACCATTCCGAAATATTGAAGAAGATCACTCTCAATGGTAAATATTTAAAATGTATACACGTTATAGGTTATAGAAATAACATTCAAACTGTCAATTAAAAAATAAAATTATAATAAGAGTACATCGAAATGACTTTAGTATTCAATTTTTTGGAAAAAAAAATGAAATTTAGAGTAAAATCAAACTCAAATTATACACATTTATTCTTTTATTTACAACTTTTAATTTGATCCTATTAACATATATTAAGTATAACGATTTGTGATAGTTGTTGGGTAATGTATTGCTTTTGATAAGTGCCAGGCACAGGCCAAATTTGGAAAACAAATATTTAATAAGATACAAACGGAAATACAGGAAAATAAAAAAATAAAAAGTGGTGATCGAACCTAAGTCCCATGGTATACCGTACCAATGTTCTAACCACTAGAATAGAAAATCTTGTTTATTCTACAAAAATCCATGTTTCTAAAACGGATATAATAAGTAATTTATCTATGCAAATATTATACAACCTTTACGATTTTTGGTTTTTTTGTATTTAAATTAAAAATTTAAAATAACTATTTATCAAGGGCGTAAAACAGGCGTTTACAGTCCGCAACGTGTAAGTAAGGGCCTGAGCCGCTAGGTGAGGGCTATTAACACGTAAGGTCCTTAAACGCTGTTTACGCCCGAAATACATACAACATTTTATGCACGACCCTTTCAAAGACCCATAGCAAATGAGTGAAGTCAATTAAAATTGCTTGACGATGTTAAAACAATAAAATATGTATAACTACCTGCAAGATGTTTTCCTTTAAAAATGTGTAGATTTGGTCAGCATCTCGTTTATGGACCACCCGGTATATTTAAGAATTATTGTTAAATATGGTCATACAATTTTTATATTAATAATTTCTTCGTATTTCTAATAATAAACAACTATCGATGAACTACGCACTGATGTGTGTTATTGGCTAACATATTGGTATCATTGTATAGGTAAATGTATAAGTTATTTTATGCTAAAATAATATACAGGGTGCTGCATTTGAAAAAATTGAGTAAATTGAACTTAAAATTACCCATATTTAAAACATGTTTCAAAACAGATCTATCACCACTATTCGTTAGCTCAGTATCTTGTAAGTCTGTGTATTAAACAATTTTGAAATCAATGTAAACCTACCTAAATTATGATAATTTAATTTTAGGTTAAGCATCATTCTCTAATTTAAAAAAAAAATTAATTGCTTGGCAATCCTGTAATATTATTTAAAAACTTTCTAGGATTAAAATACACGGTGTTCTATTTAAAGAACACATTTTTACTTTTCAGGAAAAAACGCAACACCCCGTATATCCAAAAAAAATTTTAAAACATGAATTTTTCAAATCCATTAACTTTTATTTAAAACTTTTTTGCGTGTCTATAACACAAATTGAAATATTGAACAATTTCGCACTAATGGGATCACCCTGTATAAAATTTTATGTACGACCGTTTTAATGACCGTTTATTAATAAATAACTATTATTTTTTCTTTTTCGCCCTTTGTGAGCAGGTTATTGTAAAGTAATCCGCGGGCGATAAAGGGACACTTTAGGCCTGCTAAACGTATTTATAATCTGGACTTTATCACCTGGTCGTGCATAATAGTTATTTTTTATCATACAATTTTTTTATCAAAGATCAATTTCATTTTACAATTTTTTTACAAGAGGTACTTTTATTTTTTTTTATAACTTTTTTACCAAAGAGTATTTTTATTTTACTATTTTTTTACCAGTTTAGTTAGGTACTTTTATTTTTTTGTTGTAAATTTAACGTTTATTATGTTATTTTCAAGTATAAATACGTTTTTAAAAAACAAAATGTATATTTTTTTTAATTAGCAACTGATTTCAAATAAAATGAACGTGGGAAAAATTGTGGGAATTATAAAATTTTGTGTGGGAAAATAGGATTTTTTTTGCACACGTAAGAAATTCTATTAAAATTGGTTAGCAATAGTGTGTAACACATAAGTCAAAATGTATTGTGCTGAGTGGGCGGAGATCACAGTGTCAGGCTGTCAGAATTCTAGGAATTTATGACCTTGTCAAATTTCCAGAATGCATTAAACTATCGCTAGAATGTTTTGCCTTCTACAATCGCTTCAAAGTCTATTTTACACGGAATTCCACCCCACACATTGCGAGCGATTGACGATCGACCAAAATTGGCCTCGCGATCGACTGGTCGATCGCAATCGACTTGTTGGCCACCCCTGGTATACATTGTAAAAGTAACCACGCTATATCTACGATGAATGTCCAGATCTGTGCTTTTTTATTAAGTGTACATTTAAAGAATAGAAAGATATGTTTTGGGATATCCTGTATATAGAAACAATTAAGTGGAATTATATTAAATCAATTGTTGTATTATCATATTGTTATTTAAATAGGTTACAAAGATAAACTATCGCCAATAGGATACACCTACATATGTACAATTAGCAATATCCGGGATGATTATTATTATTATTATTATTAATAATAATTATAACAGTATTAAGAAAGAAAAAGCAACATTAACAAAAATTTATATTAAATAGGATATGGTAGTACAAACAGAAAAAGTCTTATAATTTATTTTACCTTGATCTTTAATGACTCATTGCACAATATTTCAATCATAGTGTATTATACTCCTTTCACAATCCTTTGCATTTTATATAAAAAAGGTGATATTGCATTAAGACACCACGCAGAAAAAACAAAAAAAGAATGACCAAAATGAATAATTATATATTATTAATTATTAAATAATATACTTATAAATAAATCATGTAATTAAATATACAGTGTCTCCCAAATTAATTACTGTTTTGATCATTACAGAATTAATTAAAAGATAAAAGGTTAGATGGGGGGGTGGGTTGGCTCAGTGGTTAGAGTCATGACTTTGAGATCGGAAGGTCTCAGGTTCGAATCCCACCGTTGGCCGGGATTTTTTCATTTAATTTAATTATTTAAAATTAATTCTGATGCCTTGGTAGGATTCCCCACTCGACCATTCACTGTTGGGTTCTAATTAACAGTGCTGTTCCTAAAGTGGCGCTGGGAAACAGTAACAAAGCCTACACAGAACACGAGGCTAATGGCCGTAGTAGTCGACGCCGATGACACCAAATTAAAAAAAAAAAAAAAAAAAAAAAAAAAAAAAGTGTGGCAGTAGTATTTTGCTTCTTAAAATAATCTAGTTGAATTTCAATAAAAATAAACAATAGTCTTTGAAAAATATATCTTTTTTATCATCTTTTTCTTGTTTTTTTTTTCAACTACTTCTTGTTTTCTTCAATAAATCAAGCATATTTTGTCACCATTTCAGAAAACGTAAGTCGCGCAATTTTCATTCATAATTTTTTTATGATCGAGTCAAAACCACAGAAAATGTACCTTTTTCTTATTTAATTTAAATGAAATGTCCTGATTTTTCTGTTTTTTTGGTACTTAGGTAACGTTTCGCCAGTCGTACCTTCAAGAAGAAACCCAAATCTGCTGTTGGTCGGTGTTAACAGATCAATAGTTGCCGTTGAATGGGACGGAAAGAATAAATTGGGAGACCGAGCTGTACTGACCACAGTAAGCAAGCAGTTTCCTGGCAGTAGGTTCAACGATGGTAAAGCAGACAAACAGGGAAGACTCTGGTGGGGTGAGTATTAAATATTATTATAAACATTCAATTTGTAATGTGTATATCAAAGTGTTTAAAGCAAAATACGTTCATATATAATGATAAAACATTTATTGCTTTTAAAAACATCTTGTTTTACAGCAACATATATCTTTATGAAATACAAATTTAATTACATAAAATATTGTCGCGCTAAAGCTCCTTGCCTGCGGTAATATAATAAGTATTCATGTTAAGATCTAGTGTTTGATTTAGTAGTTTTACCAATGTTGTAGATTCAGTTATTTTATCGTAGTAAACGATTGTCAGTCAGTCTGATAGTTATTAAAAAAATAAAGTTATATAAAAGTCATCCATTTTATTTCCACAAAGTCCAACAGGTTATGGAGCCCAGTCTACGATTAATATAAAAGATAAAATAAAAGTTATGTCTGGAGTATTACAGCAATTAACGCAGCTATCTGCAGAAAATTTTTCAAACTGGCGATTCCGAGTCGAAGTGATCTTAGAAGAAAAGCAATGTAAAAATGTAATACCAAAAAAACTGTATAGCCCTGAAACTCCAGATAAAGAAAAAGAGGATTTACTAGTAAAGGATGCTAGAGCTCGTTCTAAAATTATACTGTGCGTAACTGATCGTCATATAGAGTGTATAAAAGAGTCAAAAACTACTATTCAAATGATGATAACATTGGAAAATGTATTTGAAATAAAAAGCTCTTTTTCAGAAAGAAACTTTTGTCATTAAAATGTTCCAAAGACAATTTACAAGATCATTTCCTAGAGTTTGATGGTTTGATCAGAGAACTGGAAGCCACAGGAACTAAACGTAATGATAGCGATAAAATTTGCCACTTGCTGCTCGCAATCCCAGACACATACGATACTGTAATCACAGCACTAGAAACATTAACATATGACACTATTACATTAGAATTTGTACTCTTGGATGCAGAATTGAAGATGAAAAATAGTCAGCATCAAAGAGAACCAAATCCAAGCCAAGAGTGTACCTTCTTTAATTTCCACAGAGAAGACACACGATGTTATGAATGTGGTGGAACAAATCACTTAGCGTCATAGTGTAGAAAGAAGAATAGAAGTTTCCATAATCAAAAACCTAATAGAATAGTTATAGGAATAGACCCGGAAGATACTCATACTCGAGAAGAAATTATAGCAATACAACAAATATTGCAGAAGATGGTGACGATTACTATGAAGATGAAGTATCATTCGTAGCACTTAGTGCAGAGATGAAAGTGGAAGAGAATGTAGATGTTATTAATTTTGTCATAGACTCTGGAGCGTCCGAACATTTAATAAAAGAAACAGAAGAACAAAGCATGACTGACGTTAAGATATTAAATAATGTAATTAGAATAAGAATCGCAAATGGGCAAACTTTAGTAGCAAGAAGAAAGGAAAAACAAGACTAAAACGTGGAAACGAAAACGTTACATTGGAAGCATTAATTGTTCAAGATCTTACCTCTAATTTACTCTCAGTAAGAAACATAAATGAATCTGGTAAAAAAGTAGAGTTTTATAAAAATAAAGTAAAGATCTCCTATAACAAAGGCTTAATATAATGTGTAACCTAGTAGGAAACTTGTACATAGCCACTTTTAAAAGACCAGAAAAAGAAACCAGCATGATAACTAGTGCTCACCTACGGCACAGAAGATTAGACTATTTGAATAAAAAAGGCTTACAAATTTTGAAATTACCAATTAGTCCAGATATGTGCAAGCCCTGTATGGAAGGCAAATCCACAAGACTACCTTTCAAAAGCTTAGAACACCCAAGACCAACAAGAGTAGGAGAGTTTCTGCACAGCGATTTAGGGGGTCCTATCAGTACTCCCATGTTGAATTATCCAACAATTATAGATGATTTTTCTCATTTCACTGTAATCTGTTTATTAAAATCTAAAGCTGAAGCAAAATATAACCTCATAAATTATATTCTTGAAATGGAGGCCAAAGGAAACATTGTAAGCAGAATAGGAACTGACAAGGGTGAAGAATTTACGACGAAAGATTTCAAAAGTTTCTGCTATACTAAACGTACATCAATAGATCTCTATTTGATAAAGTAAAAACTATGTATAAATAAATAATTATTTGGTTCATTCAAACTACAGTATTTTTTTAAATAAAATCCTAAAACGTTCCATATAAAAGCTGCAATTGACTTAGCTGATTGGATTGTCATATCCAGAATGTATAAAACAGAATATTTAATCAGCTAGAGAATTATAATTATTATTAATGGGACAATCAAACTAAATATATATGGTGAGTAGATTCATTTTCGTTTTTATTCCAAGCGGTACCAATTTCGCTGCTATTTATTGTGTATGATAGATAATTCATTTAAAGTGAACCTCAACATATATATTTATTACTCAGTCTCAACTAGGCTATAGTGTGAGTGATGAGAATGGGAGATTTTAAGATAAGATTGTTTTTAGACTGTTTATCGATTGTAATAACATTATAAAAATTTAAGGAAAAGAAGCAAGAAGTTATCAATATCATAAATAGAGTAAAATGTAAAGGGCAATTCCCCTTGTAAAACACCAGATGTCAAATCGAATGATTTAGATAGTCCAGCAGAATATTTATTACGAAATTCCACACAAATATAAATTCTAAAATTAACAAATTAAACAGCTTGAGGCAAAGAATGAAGTGGTTGACGTAATTAAAAAAGTGTTTAAAGCCAACAAATATTGCAAACATTTTCAGCTTTTTTAATCCAATATGCGGTTGATTTTAGAATAAAACGTATACACATTATCAATGCCAACCATAATTAGGGCGAAATTATCAGATTATTTTACCAACCTATTCAGAATAATATATTATGTGTGAACATATTAGCAGCACAGTTTATTAAAGCAAATTCCCGATAATTTGAAGGATTATCGAAACGCATCCATACAACAGGAGTCTAAATGCCTGTAAAATGTTGGAGTTAACAGTGTAAAACCATGCGATTTAGAGGGAAGCATAATTACCTTCAATTTGTACTACTAACTCTGGACTTCGTATGTCACGATGGAAAGTGGTTATTAATAGCCACCAAAGATGGGATGCAGCAGGATCTAAGTTTGAGAAATTTGGCCATGGAAGTTTGTTAGCAACATCCTAATTTTCATTGGAATTCTAAACTCTATCCTTGAAATATAAAGTGTAGTTACTCTAAATGTTATTTTTATGTAAATATATGAATGTTTCTCAAATTGACAAATAAGCTCCGATAATATAGTGTGAGCCAAATGCCATCGTAAAATATTACATGTCTTAAAATAGAGACTTACTTAACTTTTAATAAAATATTTTTTTCTAGATAATAAATTATACATTTTTATTTCTATATTTACTTTAATAACGCTTACCAAAAATTTGGATAAAGCCCCGTATCGTCACGTAGTTTAATTTAGTAGAACATGGTTTAAATAAAAAACCATTTGAATAATCGTATTTCAACTTTTTTTATAGTGTTTTTTCATGTGTGTTACAGGACCAGCTTACCTAATCTATTGGTGGCCATTCATTTCCCTATTCTGTTTCATCGAATAGCGATATTTCAATTTTTTCGGAGTAAAACTGAAAGATGAGTCAATAAAATTCATGAATTTTGCATGTGTTGTGCACTGATTAGCTAGGTGAGATAGGTTTATAACAAATGCATTTTTGAAACATAAATTTGCACTCTAATCTCAATCGATTTTTTATAAATCCGCCTATATGATCCTATTAATCTTTACGTAAATAATACCACATATACAGATTGTTGTAAATATTGTTAGCCTACGTGTTACTCTTATATTATTTGATGGCAGACATAGATGTTGAATTTGTTAACTACAGTTTTTAATGAAAAAGGACGACTAATACAGCTCCATTTTCTATTTTTATTGGAAACTTAAATTATCACTCCACAATGATTTTATCCAAAAAATCATCTATTTCTACTATTTCGCCGTCAATAGATATTTTCATCGGAAGATATTGCTCACCGGCCACAATAGTGGCACAACTCAAAATTGCAAATTATGAAGAAAACTGCAATTAAAGTTTTAGTTATTTTAATTTTTCATGTTGTAATGTCATTTAAATATCATTAATGAACTTGACTGGTGATTATTGGTGTGTTTTTATGTGCTAAATAATCGGGGACTGTTAAGTTACTTTTTTGTTTTCAAGAAAGGTTATATTGTGCAATGAAAACAGATGTGTTATTTTTAAATAAAAAGAAAATATACGAAATACTCTTGCTTTATTGAAAATGGCCATATAAGAGAGGAATACGTAACAAAAAAAAGCTATCCTATGTTAAAAATACAACTACATTTTCTGGAAAATCAGTCTTACTTAACGTCTAATCATTTTTTTACTCAAAATTTAAACTGTTATAAGAATAACTGTGACAATTTTTAATAGCGTTGGTTCTTAATAAAAACATGAGGTCATCATATTTTTTCTTACCAATAAGTATGGGGGACTATCGTAGGCTTTCTTCAGTTCAAAGTCTAAAAAAATAGAGAGGGATGTTCTTGAACGTCTTGCATGAATCACTTGGACTTGCTTAAAATCTGTATTTTTAAAAGTTTCACCCACTGTATCAACTATACTGGCACATTTAATTAAAATAACCGAAACACATAAACTGTGCCACTAATGCTGAAACAAATCGTTGCTACTTTTTTGGATGTGTCACTATTGCTCAAACATAACGAAGCATTACTAAGCACAGTTAAAGGCACATTGAAAACGAGGAGCTCAGCTTGCGGTAGCCCGTAGTGGCAAACGCCATTTCGAAGAGATTATTTGATCTAATTTTATGCCAGTATTGTTGGATAAAATTTCTTCAAATTTTAAATTGTTTCACGTATTTTAACGTGTTTTGTGATTTTTTTTAGATGTGCCACTATTGTCGCCGGTGAGCGATATATTCCCGTTGCAAGGTCATTGCAAGAGTTTTTCCAATCAATCAGTTTACATAACAAGTAATAGAAGCAGGATTTTATTTCAAAGGAAACTGTAAATTGGTCGCTTCAGCAATCTGTCTAATATTACGGCGTCAGCATAAATGTCTTCTTTTTTTCTTGTTTTATTCTATTGTTTTATAGGTTTACTTTTTCACTATCTACCCAGTGTTACGTTAAAAAAAAAATATTTTACAAAAATTAGTCACTTCTTGGCAAATACGGTAGCCCTCAGATAGTCCTAATAAGAAAACTGAGCTCATACAGCTAAAGAAAAATTTGATTAATTCGAAAAAAGAACCTCTATCTGAATTTTATATTAGTATCAAATAGGTAAAGTGCCTATTATTTTGACATGAAAAGGCTTAAGGGGTCAAGGGATAAAATATTTTTACATCGGCTGGCTTTAGGGAACAACGACCCAATTATATTTACAAGGATAAGCGTACGTTGTAAAGGAACCAGATATTTTTATATGGGCACGCTTAAGGGGAAGAGTCCATATAAGATGAGAATCACCTATTTAGGTTCCTTAAATGTTAATTTATTTTATTTTAAATTATAAGAGTTAACGTATATAGTGTACAAAATACTATTTTGTCTGATGAAGATTTGAACAAAACGATTTTGTAAGACATTTCTATAACTTTTTTATCCATAACATGACCATTTTTTTTTTGAGTTTTATGTTTCTATATTACGACAAAAAAATAAGTACTTTTAACAAACTGAATGAACCTGTAGGGTCTGATTACAATAAGAAGATCACAGCTACGTCATCACTTGAGGTAGTAATTTTTTGGATAACACCGCCTACTGTGGGTTTAGTGTCATGTGGAAGGAAGCACCCAGCTATTTATAGAGGTTGCAGCACTGTAAAACTGTGCAAAGCATAATAAACAAAACTACAAATCAAAAAGACACAGTCAACTAAGCAAACCAAGGAAATCTAAAGAAAACTGTAAGAAGGCAACAAATAATAATGAAGGCTGCTATACTTTATGCCTAAGTAGCAAATAATGAAATACAACCGACAGTAGAGAGCAGTACTGAGCCTATAACTTCAATGCTGCAAAAAATAATGAATCAAATGGAAGAATTTAACAAAAGGCTGGACAGGCTAGAAAATAATAATAGACGATAAAAGAGAAAATGATTCTTGATCTTAGGATTTTGGTAAAGAACACGAATTGACTCTTATAATACCAGCAAGAGTTATTTGTGACCTTAGAGACACTTGTGGATATATGTCCAATAACAGAAACATATTTTACGAAACATAAGCACGGCAAATTAAAAGGATATCATTTATATAATGCCATTAATCCAAACAATTCTGTCCGAGGTGGAGCTTCTATTATTATTAAAAATAACGACACACTTTGAAAGAGGAAAAAGTGAAGCTGAAGAAATACAAACTGTTAAAACAAAAAATATGTACTCATCTGCCTACTTTCCACCCAGATATAATCTCAAAAGAGGAGACTAGAACAACTTCTTGTCGAGTCTTAGTGAAAAATTTATATTGGGTGCTGATTTTAATGCAAAATATGTCCGTTAATGCTTAAGACTTACTACAACCAAAGGAAAAGAACTTAACGAGGCTATCAAAGATCAGAAATGTAGGTGGCACTCCACGGGAAAACCTACATATTGGCCAAGCGATATTAACAAAATACCTTTTTATTTCCAGAAATATTGCAGCAAATTTTATAAAGATAGAAGATGTTGAGGAATTAATATCTGATCACTCCTTATTCCTAACAATGAGTGTTATTATTATAGAAGTCAATCCCTCATTGACGAATAGACATACAGACTGGAAAAATTTTAACTTGAACTTGAAAAAAATTGAATTTAAATATCCCAATCAGGACAGGGAAAGATTTGGATACGGAAATGAAATTATTTATGGTCAATATCCAACAAACTGCATGGAATAACACACCATTAATACAAAGAAAAACCATGGGTATTAATTACCCTAAAGGAATAAGGGATTTAATACAAAATAAAAGAAAGGCTCGAAAGAAGTGGCAAAAAATGAGAGAAGTGAAGAGAACAGAAACAAATTAACAGCTACGAAGAAATAATTCAAAATGAGTCGACCAACAAATATCTGAGAGAGCTCATAGATGACCAAATCACTGATTACTCATTATGGAATGCTGTCAAAAAAATAAACCATTATGAACTAAATGCATTCGGAATGAAAAAAAAAAATTTAAAAAATGTTTATATGTTTCACTGATTTGTGTGGTACCCACTACTAAATATTTAAATTTAAATTAAGACATTTATAAATAATAGAAATGAGTTTAATGTCAAAATTACAAAATGAGTTTGTTATCATGTGAGGTGACGAAATTATATACTTAATAGGTACTTAATTTATTTTAAACATTCAAAAATGCCTTACCGAAACCAATATGTACCTACAATAATTATTTTGCGGTGTAACATTTTATTTTTGTAACATTTAATTTAGTTTTCTTATATAATAAATTAAGTAATGATGTCTATTAAACTAGATTGATGGATAATTAATTTAGGCAATATACTTTCGAAAATATTGACTCGAATTTACATAAATTGCGATATTTAAATCAATTAATATAATAACTAATTAAATCGTATATAATTTTATTTATAAATCTACTCTTTTACTATTTTCCGGTTTTTTCTAAAACTAGATTACAAGTTCTAGTTAACTACAAGATGAGAAGAGTTTTTATTAGTAGAGGAACAGAAGTCTCAATATTATCTGGGTGCCTTAAAGACGTTGTTTAAAAGAACCAACATAAATTCGAGCCCGTTATGTAATTGTGATATGTGATTTAAGCGACATTTACGTGTTTTCGAGAAACAGGAATAGAAAGCTAATACTTCCTCGGCAAATATGAAACTGTCCTTAAAATCGTAAAATAGGAAATTTTAACTAAGAATAAGCTTTATAATATAAGTTTCATTGATTATTAAAGGATGGCACCATTTACCCGATTTCTGAATTTTGTCGCTTAATTCGTTATTACATAATGCGGTCCAATTATTTGTTATTACATAAATAAAAATAAAAACACATTATAAAACTGCAGTAACCACTATTAATATACAATGACCCAAATGCCCAAATGTACATCAAAAGAAAAAACACTAATTAAACAAACTCAGACTCCAAATTTAATAAAACTTAGCAATTTTGGAATGAGTGACAGTATAAGAATAGCAATGAATCCAAAATTATCTGAACAACGAAAATAAAACCATTAAAAGCGATATACTTAATAGATTAACAGTGTTTTCATTAGTGTAATTTTTAGCTTGTAATGAATCAAATTTAGATGTTCCAAGAGATGCAAATTTAAAAGTAGTTACTTTTCGATATAACACATGTAGTGCCATGGTGGGTCACTGCTGTCCACTAAAGTTGTTTAAAGATCAGGCCTCGGTAACTGATGGTTGTCGAAGAAAGTCTTACTAAATATGCAGACACTGATTAATAGTGCTTTTAGAAATATTTTTTTGTACAATAAATTTCCTCATTAAATATCCCCCGTTTGTAATGGTTTGACTTGTTTACGAACAATTTATATAATTAGGTATCCATAACTCAAATCAATCTTTGTTTTTTTATAGGTACGATAGGTGTAGAAATAAACTTAGTAGTAAATCCTGACCAAGCTTTCTTGTACAAAATAACCAAACACAATATCAGAGACCCAACCATCGCCATTTCACATGTTACCAATAGTAACGGACTAGCATGGAACAAAGCTAATGACAAATTTTATTACATCGACACACCAACTCTTAAGGTAGTCGAATATGATTACTCTGATGAAAATGGAACAATCTCAGGGGGCAGAACAGCGTTTGATCTCAACGATTACAAAACAAATATTACAGGTAAGATGAATTTCAATATTTATGTTTATTTTAGAAAACATCGTAAAGTATAAATTTGCGCTTAAGAATTTACCCCATAACATTTCGCATAAACACAGTAGCTTTGGTACGGGACGTGAAATTAAATTAAAACTCAAATTGTAATAGGCTTGTCGATTTTCAAAACTTAATAGGCTCTTTAATAACAAGTATTTTTAACAAAAGTTGTTAGTTTCCGTCCAATGGTTCGGTTATGGTTTTGGCTAGTTTCAGCTCTAGTTTTGGTTTCGGCAGAAAACTGGCCGAAATTGCTTTCGGAAGTGTTCGCATCACGCTTGGCGGCATTCGGCGACCGTGCCCTGTGCTATTCCTGCACAGGGCACGTTTACACCCACACACTTCTTTGCTGTGTGCCACACAAGTTTTCCAAGTGAACAAATTTAGTGCTGCTGGCCAAATGAATTCAGAAAACGCGGAAAAATATTATTTCTAGCCTATATCATTATACTGTTTAATTACGAATATTAATTTAATTATAAATAAAAAAACATATTTTATTAGCTGTATTCATTTTCTTGTTCGTGAAAACTTAAATTTTTTATTTTTATTTGGTAGTTTTTATAGCTTTTATAGCTTTATTTGTAACACCATACCTTAGTAATTATAATACCTATTATAATACTATTTTTTGTTAAAAAATCCACTATACACGTAGCCACGCTTGTTACTTTGTAATTCACTTATTTTTTCTTTATTTCAAAATATAATAATAAAACTATTTCAATAAATTAATTAATAAAATGAATAAATAAGTAATAAGTAAGTGTAGCTACAATTTATAAAAGAAGTTGTCTAAAACTAGGATTACAATAAGTTATTGCAAATTTCAATGAGCAATTCTCTTTACAAAAAAGAATGGCTTCTGTTTTTCGGTTTTGGTTTCGGTTTTGGCTGAAACTAAGACATGAGTCGAAATTCGGTTTCAGTTTCTATTTTGGTTAACCCCTATTTCGGTCGGGCACTAATTTTTGTTCAAAGTTTGACCAGTTTTATTATGTAACTTTTATTTCAAAAACACCATGTATAATACATATACATAGTAGTGTATTACGCGTCTACAGATTCACAGGTTGATGTCAATACAATTTCCTTCAATGTTTCTTATAATTACTATTTTTGCTAGCCTATCTGGTGCCATTTTCTGCCCTGCCCTTTTAACCCTACAAGATTTTACTTATGTTATAGTTTTCTTCGTTTTGAAACAAGGTTTTACAACCGAAACAGAAACCGAATTTCGGCTACCTACTGTTTTAGTTTAGGCCGAAACCAAAACAGAAACTTTCTTTCAACGAAATTTATTTTTGTCATATGTTATTGGTAATCCTAGTTTTAGACTACTATTACTGTAAATTTTAGCTACACTTATTATTACCTATTTATTTAAATGAATAAAAAAAAGTCCTTTAATTATTTTTTAAAATTAAAAATAGTTAATGAGTTACAAAGTAGCAACTATTGTTGTGTGGGTAGTGGATGTTTTATAGTATTCTATCAGGTTTTATAATTACGAATTCATGAAGTTGCCAAAGAAGACGCCAAACGTGACATAAAAGTAGTTTCAGTTTCGGCTGTAGTTTCGCCCATTTTCCGCCGAAACCGAAACTACAGATGAAAATTTTATTTTAGGCCCAAACTGGCCGCAATCGAAACAGAAACCGAACCTTCGGTCGGACATTAACATTAGTATAGTAACGTTTATGAATTTTATTTTGCTTGTATGTAAAGGATGATTCCTAGGTTGATAATTTTTTTTCCTACGACCACTTAGGAAAGTGACACATATCACACTATATAGTCCTATGGAAAGTGCCCTATATCACACGCGTATGAATAAGAATTTATTTTTCACCCGTGTACGAATATGCTACTTTCCGCATCAGCTGTCACAAAATGTCAAACGCATCATTTCTATTTTGATCTATGTAATGTTCTGCATTTTTTGATGAAATTATTTTGTAGTCGTAGGAAAAATATTGTACATCACTTGTGTGAAAAGTGATTTTCCACACTCGTGTGACAGTCGCACTCGGCTTGTGCCTCGTGCGACAATATTTCCCACTCGTGTACATAACTTTTTTAAATAATTTTTTAAAAATTATTTTTTCAAATAACTTTTTCAAATAACGTTTTCAAATAAATTTATTAAATAACTTTTTCAAATATCTTTTTTTTCAAATAAGTTTTTAAAATAACTTTTTTCTACTACCGTGCGTAAAGTACGTACTTTACGCACTCCACGAAGTGTGTAAAGTTGTACTTTTTTTCACTAGTGCGTAAAGTAAAACTCTTTACGCACTAGTTAAAAAAAGTAAAATTTGACAAAATTTGTACATAAGAAAATATAACGTTTTATTTTATATTAACATTTTTTTGCTATCTCCTTATAAGACAAATAAATAAATTATTTTTTTTTAAATTCGCAAATGGAAAATATTCTAAACAGCCTGTAGGGATAAATACTTTTGGCAAAATGCCAATTGTTATAGCAACGTATCTAAACTTGCCCAATCCAACGGCTTTTACAGGACACTGCTTTAGGAGGTCTTCGGGCACTATGCTGGCAAATTCTGGAGGAGACCTTCTAACGGTCAAAAAACATGGAGGATGGAAATCATCTACTGTTGCAGAAGGCTTCGTAGACAGCACAATAACACAAAAAAACAAAATTTCTAATAAAATTTTGATGGATGACAGTATGCCATCCACTTCCAAACAAAGCTACAATTTTACCGTTGTTTTACCCTACAAAAATATGCCTGGATAAAATTTTTATCTCAAACGGTTCAAAATGTATAGCAATTTTAATGAAAATTTCCGTAATAGAGCTTTGAATCAAACATGTCTGTTTTTCATCAACTTTCATAGCCCGTACGTATATGAATTTTGGAGGCAAAAATATTAACTCCGGGGTATTTTTTAGAGAATGTCATGCCCTACAAGAATATGCCTGGATAAAGTTTCTTCCTCAAACGTTTCCAAAGGTATAGCATTTTTAATTGTCAAAAATTTTTTGCATGTTATTTAAATGGGTAATTTCAAATGGCCACCGTCACCTTTTACAATTGAAATAAAAAAAATTTTCCAATGAGAGAATTTTTATTCAACAGATAGACCATTTGGAGACCCTAAAATTGATAGGTTAGTAATTTTGGCTCACCCTAGTGCCCATGCAATTGTCCCATTTCGACCGATGCATCTATTCGGGAATTTAATGTCTAAAAACTTCTGCTTTTATGACTGATGACAGGTACGGATTTGAAATTTTCCTTGTGTAAGTTACTTTCTTGTATGGCTACATATGTCACCAGATCTAATTCTTTGTACTTTTTTGTTTTTTAAGTTCTGTTTTGTGATTTTATACGTCTCAACTTGAGAATCACCCTGTATAGTTACAATTTTAGTTTTAGTTAGAAACGGAAAAGTTATACTTAACTCTTTTCTTTTTCTGGTAATTATAACATAATTTTGAAAATTGACGCCATTTTCATGAATCTGAGATTCTTCACTAGACGTGAATTTAAAATTAAAAAATTGTAGAGATAAAATTAATCAATTGTTTTCTAAAGTATATACAATTTTGAAAAACCTATTTTTTAATGTTCAACATGCTTTAATTAAATATCCTAAATGTAAAACATTGATATAATTAACAATTTTTTCAATGGAAGAAATCTTTTGTTTTAACTTAAACATAATATGTCAAATTTTATACCGTGCGGCCAAACAAAAATGTTTCTAAAGCAGACCATGGACAACAAAGACAAATATTGTCGTTGTAGAGTCAAAACGTCATATTTTGGCGTAACTGAATATAATTTTTTTCTTTTTTTAGAGAGATTAATTTTAAAATATAAATCTTTAACCATTTGGCATCTTTTTGACTTACTTTTTTCTATTAAGCTACTTTTACACAATTTCCTACAAAAAAAAAGTTTTTAGTGTTTCCTGAAAACCTGGTAATTTTATGATACGAGGTTTTGACTCTACGACGACGATATACGACTCATGTGCTACACACGCCTCTGAAATGAAATTCAAGCCGTAATTTAAAGAAGATGAATAATTCTAAGCTTCGACATGTGTGATTTTTTCCATGGTCTACTTTAAAAACTTTTTATCGTTCCATATCTTTAGTGTTTTTTTACCCATTTACTATTTATTGGATTTATAAATAACTATTGATCCATTACAACCAACTTTTCAGTGTACATCTATTGACATATATCTATTATTAGGATCACCTTGTATCACGACTAAACATTTACCAATGTTTAGACTGATTAAAAAGTGTTTTTTAGGGTCACTGCTTCAGCATTGTCGTTAAGTAAAATTATTCTTATTATATTTACCTGCTTATTATTAAAAAAATTAACAGTTAAATCTATTTATCAATTCTTAAAGTTTGGAAAAAATAAATCAAATATGTATGATTATTTTTCATTGGGCAATTTTGTTATCACAAAAGTGTATAAATAATACTAATAAGTACTTGTACGAACGTGGGTACTTAACTTTTATTGTAATAAGGTCGGTACTTAACTTTTATTGTTTTTCAAATTTTGCACCTATCTACACATGTTTTCCTTAAATTAGTTTTACACAACCTTATAAATATTTAAAATCCAGACAAAATACCTATTAATGAGAATTATATTTATTATTCACTGCCAGTTATCAACAAAGTCATGATAATGCCAAAGTGACGTAGTATTAAGTCAATTTTCCAATTAAAAATATTGCCAAGGGTAATATAGGTAAACAAATTTTAATAATATAATGATAAATTAAAAAAAAAAATAAATACCAGAAGAACCAGGACTACCAGGAGGGCATAGTAGTTAACGAAGAAGAAAAGCAGATAGGTAGAGCAGATAGATGAAATAGATATACAGTTAGATTCCAGAGAAAGAGAGAGAGAGAGAGAGAGAGAGGGAGTAGTAGGAAAGAAACAAGTCACAGGAGAGAAAAAATGGAAGGGAAAATATTTGTGTTAATTGGTTATATTTATTATTAGGTATTTAGTATTTTTATAAAGTTTAGGAAACGAATCACCCCTTTAAGAGTCTTGAGCAAGGGATTTGGATATTTACCAGATTTGGTGTTTCCATATCACAATATTCAGTCAGTTCGATTGGTCGGTAGCAGCGTCATGCGACATAAGATACGTGCTCTTCAGCAAAAATAATTTGTAAAATATGAATTTATATGAAAAGTGTGAGAATATTATGAAAATTTAATATTGCTATTTTTAATATTTAACATTTTTTTAATACATTAAATTGGATCATTATAGGATTGCCAGATGGTATGACAATTGACGATGAAGATAATTTATACGTTGCTTTGTATGGAGGTGGAGCCATAATCAAAGTTGATCCTAAGACTGGAAAACTTCTAAATGTAAGATTAATAATGATATAACAGTCATTCTATTTTATTCAAAAATAGCTGTTTATATTTCTAATGAATATGTTTTAGGTGATTGCCATTCCATCTAGAGATGTCACATCTGTCATGTTTGGAGGACCCAATCTCGATATTCTATTCGTCACCACTTCTAAAGTTAGTTTAACTCCTAAAGAACTATTACAATGGCCTGCTGCTGGCAGCGTGTTTGCTGTCAAAAATCTTAATGCCAAAGGTTTACCTGCTTTTACTGCAGATATCATAGATAGTATACCATCAAGGGTAAGCATTAGATTTGTCTTTATCATTTTATTATTTTTTTTTAATAAAACACTGTGCTTCTAGAATATGTCCATCATCAAAATGTTTCAATAAGAGTTTTTAGATAACTATGAATTTAAGGATTGTCAAATATACTTTCTTTTTGAAAATGAAGTAAAAATAAGTTGTATACAGAAATTTATAAGCAGATACTATTTCAACCTGCATCTCAGTTAGGAGGCAGAGACCACAATATATATAAAGTAAAATTTTAAAATCTCAGAAGTCAATTAAAGTTAACAATTTCATGTAGATAAGTTGTCGAACTTGTCCATGTTGTTGCGTTAAAATATCTCTTCATTTTTGTCTAAGAGATAGAGAAAAGGATCCATTACTTTCATGCGATCAGACTTTAACCAGTAAGATCACATTAGCCAATACGGGCTTACCACGCTAGATTACAACATAGCCTAGCCAACGCTGCACAGGGTGATTCTTTTATCATGGGAAATGAGTTTTTCTCGTAAACGACTGCAGCAAATGGAGTTCTGTAAAAAGTATTTTATTTACGCCGATTAATTCTTGAAATTGGGATGGATATGGAAGTTATAATTAATTGACGCTGGGCGCCGCGACGTTTCACAAATTGATTGACAGAAGCATGCCATTTTAATTTCAGAAATTTAAATATCTATTCAATAGAAACACTTTTTTCAAATAACATTTAGTGAAATTTAATAAACCGTGCATTCTTTGTATGAAAACAAATTTAAAACATAAAAGCTTGTCTGTAATTTTCGAATGTTTTCAGAAAAAATGGTATTTTAAAAAAGTGCTTCTATTGAAAAGATTTTTTAATTTCTGAAATAAAAATGGTATGCTTTTGACAAAAAAAATTGTGAAGCGTCGCTTAATTATAACTTCATATCCATCCCAATTTCAAGCATCAATCAGCTAATTAAAATACTTTTTACAGAACTTAATTTGCTGCAGCCGTTTACGAGAAAAACTCATTTCTCATGATAAAAGACTCACCCTGTACGCATTTCATTTGAATTAATCACATTGGGCCGTACATCTTCGACCAAAATAAAATCGGCTTTTTTCACTTTTCATTTCTTAATAAATTAAACGAAATAACGAAGTTGTTGTACCAAGTTGTAGATCCCCAGTTGTATATATTAAATATACATAGGTCTAGTATGTGACAAAAAAACGCAACACTCATTAAAGTCGAGATTGTCAAATCCTTGCTGATGAGTCCTAATAAGGACGAAACCGGTCCAATAATGACGTTCTCCTTAGGAAACAAAATCAAAGCTAGAATGTTGAAAATTATTTTCTAACTCGGCTATTTTTCTTTTGATATAATGCAAGGCCTATTGCTGTATTTGACAAGGCAGTAGTTGTTTTCAGCAGAGAAACGGTCGCTCGACGTTTCTGAGACACGGACTTCGAGTTTTTCTCATTTGCTTTAATTTTATTATCATACATATAGTAAAAAATAGAAATATATAATTCCACACTATGTAAAGAAATAAAGTCAAATTGACCATTTAGAAAATATACTGTTTTATAAAATGAATAGCGTAGAATAACATTGATATTTTTAAAATTCAGAAAATCTACAACCTTATTGAAGAACTATTTAAAAAAATAGATTATATAATTTTATTGTCTTAGAATTTGATAAATTAGTTTCTATAAAAAATTGATGTTATTGTTTCCAGAACCTTTTAGATAATCTCTTCAGTCCCGATTTATTCCCAAGGGAATCTAATATCCAAAAATATGTTGAACCTCGAAATACAGAACCTGGTAGGTATAATAATAGCATGGGCATGCAGTAATTGAAATGGAATTTTGTAGGCGAATACTCTGTTCAATATATTAATGCTTATTAAGTAACCGTGCATGAATTAGATTAGATAAAAGCCATAGTGCACTCTCGGTGATGGAAAAAAAATGTAATTTTACTTTTTGGTTTAATTTTGCACACGAAACAAAGAGAAACCAGTAAAGTGCCAATAAATATTAATTTTTTTCATTTAACACATTTACGATTACTTTAATATACAGGATGTTTCAAAAAACATGTGCCATCGCTCGTGGAGTGATTACTTCCCCAAAAATGAGACAAATAGTTCCTATCAAAATGGGTCCTCAGATGCTTTGTGTCCAAGATACATGTTTAGATATACCCTAGAGCTTTGAACTTTGATTTGGGTACAGGTGTTCTAACAATGTAGGAAATAAAATTTTTTCAAAATACAGTGACCCATTTGAAAGCAGGCCACCCTGTTTTTATTTATAGACCGATATTGACGATTTTTTGAACGTAAACACAAGTCTCTTTGGACGATATTTAAATTTGAAGGACCATATTATCAATTTTTTACTTTGTTTCAATACAACAGGAGAGGAGTCAACAGTTCAAATTTTCGAGGTTTACATGTTTACCAAAGAACTTGTGGCACCAATTACAAAAGTTTCTTCGGTACCTTAACTTCTATTAGCCTATCATGGACAATTTAAAGATATTTTACTGGTTATCACTTCTGTATATATTTTATGAAAAATTTTCATTTTATGTTATAAAATAATTATTTTTCATTATAACAAAAAAAAATTGTAAGTAAAGGATGTAAAACATATTTTTTTTTTTGTTTCAGGGTTGTGGGAATCATTAATGAAAGCACTCCGAACTTTCTTTTAGTTTTTATAATAAATTTATTTAAAATTAAAAAGATGTTTAATTTCGAAACCTAATCCGAGAATACCGATCAAGGAGAAGCGACAGTAGCTGTCGGTGCCTTTGATATCGGATGTACCTTTTTCACAGTATTACTTTGACTGATACACAACTTAGCACGCTGAGAAAACATGATTATTTTCTACACTGAGCGAAATAGTTTGGCAAATTATCTGAAATCATTGTTATAGTCCATGCACAAATGTTGCAATGGGATTTAATTACATTGAAGTAGTTAGGGTTAATAGCAATGCTGAAATTTCTGCACCAAAATATAATTCATTATGTAATAATTATTTATTATAAAAGTAAAAGACGTTTATTATTTTATAATTTATCTATAAAATTTGTTCAATATTTGGTTTATTTATTATTAAAAATGTAATAAAAGCCCCATATTTAAATTAAATTACCTTTTTCTTAATTAAAAATAAGGTAAATAAAATTAAAGGTGTCAAAAAAAAATTAGGTAAAAATTAAAAATACATTAAGTTTGAGAGGTTTAACTAAATATTTGCAATGTGCATATATTTTCAAAGCTTTAAGGTTTAAAAAGTACTTACATATTTTTGGAATTTCTAGATTTATATTATATTAAAAGGACTTTCAAGTTTATCACTCATTTCTGTAGAAACAAGTGTTTTCTCGCCAAGTTAAACCAGATGTCATTTAAGGTTTATGTATTTAGAGTTAAATACCTGGCCTGGCTATTACCCAGACAATACAAATATGTCCATTGGACGTCCATTCGATATACAATTTTGGATGTCTAGACGTTCAAAAATGAGTTTTCTGGACTTCCGACATCCAATGGACGTCCAGTGAAGTAAACAAATGGCACACTTTTGACCATTCAGAGGACGTCCAATTCTGGAATATATTTGGACGTCGAATACTGGACATTCAAAAAACTTCCAGGATTATATTTCCATTAAGACGACATCTCCACTTTTTTACAGAACCGCAACTCACCACACACTATTTTATATTATTATTAATTTGTTTATTATTTTCGCAAATCGCTATACACCATTTATTTTTTAATAAAAATCGCTTGACCTAACCAAGAATGGAACTCACGACACATCCATTATCGTTTTACGCTTTTAATCGCTAGACGACCTTGACCAAGGAACTACTTGAAAACTTTTTACTAGATACAGTTATAAATGCAATAGATTCAATTTGTCAATCTTTAATGACCAGTTATATTAAAAAAAAGAAGTATATACAGATGGGTATTATCTGGTAGGCCTAATAAATAATGACCTAAGATGGACGTCTACTGGACGTTAAAATACTATTGAACTTAAAATTAAGTCCAAAAACAGACGTTCTCTGGGTATCGATATTCAGTTGTCAATTTAATTAGCATAAACGGACGTACACTGGATCCTCGGATATGGACCTCCTGACCCTCAAATAGATCTAAAGTGGACGTCCATTGGACTATGTGTGCATAGACGAATTTTTAGAAATAGATTCATTCAATAAATATAAATATAAATGGGCAAAACATCTTTATATTGACATAAGTGTAACTTACAATTTAGACGTAATAAAGGGATTTTTCCCACTTTAACCAATCCTAATTGAAATACGCGAATTTATTATATTTTTTTAAATATAATTTCAAAATAAAATAAACAAAATGCAGTTCATTGTTTATTAAATTTATAAAGAAAAACATATATTTCACAAAATACAATACCTACATATGAAAAATAAAATGTCAAAAATGACTAAATCATTATACTTAACATTTATGCATGTGATAAAATTCTTAGTTTCCTAATAACTTTTTTGGCACATTTTATATCTGTATTAGAATACCTAAGTGTGTAAAAATCTTCATCTTATTACTACACAAAACAAACACCAAAAAATATCACTTAACATTGCTCACGTACTAAACACAACTTGGACTGACTTTGACAGATAACATAATTTTGAGTGATACACAACTTATTTTCGCACATGCGCGTTACAAAACGGTACACTGAAAACACCAAGCTTTCGCTTCTCCTTGATCGGTATTCTCGGACCTAATTTTAATTTCGTTCCAACATATTTTTCCACTGTTCATTTAAAAATAAAAATGAAGTCGACCTTTTAGAAGCCAATGGAAAACCACCAAATTAGTGTATTTGTTTACTGCTCTGTTTAAATTTCATAATATACATTCTTCAATTTAAAAATATCATTTCCAGACCGGGCTTTTGCTTAAGAAACACCAGCGTTCAAAATTTACCAGTGCAATCAAACTTCACATAGCAAAGAGACATTTTTAAAAAACAGATCGCCCATTTTTAAGTAGCAACTGTCATCTCGCTTCAACACAATAGAAGCAAAATATATTTCCGGTAGACAATATTCCATCTCATATTCATATTTATATTCATATTTTAAATATTTCCAAATGAAAAATTATGCCTGGTCTCATTATTTTCAGCCAGATAAATCCATTACATAATGAGGTGGGGAGCTGCGCGCAACGTCTCATCAAAAAATACACATTGTTCCTTCTTCGAGTCCTTCTAACCTCCAAACCATTCATCTCGCACGTTAACTAATACTTGAATGTAACAAAGGCGTAGCCAGCGGTACAAAGCTACATAAGTACTAGCAATTTCTCAATGCATGTGTTCTCTTTAATGCTGAGCTTGAAAAGTACCTCGCGGAGCGGAGTAGAGCTAGTAGATTTTTTTAGTCACGTGTTCATCGAGCAAATCGAAGCTTATGTAGAATAAAAGAACGGCTATGGATTTCTTTGTGTTTCCCGTTTACGGTTTTCATTAAAATAACAAACTTAAACCTTTCTTTTAAATCAAATTTGATCTCTCTTTTGTTAAAAGTTGCAAAGTAAAGTTAATTTTGAGCTGTAGTATTTTTTGCTTTCACTAGAAAATAAACCATGTTCTCATTTTTGTCTGACATTTTTTAATGAACAAACACACATGAAAAGAATAAAATGCAATACAAGAGACAGAAACGAAGTCTGTACATCTCAGAAAAGTATATCTACTTTGTCAATTGTCACAGAAATTATATTTACTCCGAAAGCTCTAAAATTTAATTCGGAGTAAATAGATCTTACTCGACTTACCAGCTCCGCATTAAAAGACCACGGAGCAGAACCCATCGAGAAGACACAGATGTAGTAAAAGAACGGCTTCGAGTAAAAAGAGCAAAACGAGGTAGTTTTCAAACGCAGCATAAGTAAGTACATATGTAAATAAAATGTGTAATCGCTTCTATTAACAAATGAAATAAAGTATTTTTTCGTTGGTGTTTTATTTCCATGGATTAGGAGCTTTTAAGGTAGCCCATATAGTCCTGTTGTACCGGTGTTAGCCGATGAATTTAGGGAGGAAGAAACCTCCAACGTAATCACGCTACTTTTATTTAGACATTCGGATTCAGTATTAAACTCTATAGGGCCATGTACTACGCAAGGAAATTGCCAACTCTAGCATACAGGTTTACTACAAAAGAATCATCGGGTTTTAAAAATATATATTTTAGAATGTATTACAGATAAAATACTAAATGACATGTCAATAGAAAGGGAAAATATATCATTACAAATGTTCGATGTATGTTCCTCGCGTCACACAACATACGAAAAAATGATAGTCCACTTCGGCCCATACACGTAGTAATGTGGTTTGAATCACAATCACTTCCGTAAATTTTTTGTGGAAAACGCACGAAACTTAGTCCAACTGCGTTCACCGTTTCGTCAAGAACTCATGGTCTTCCGGTAGGTATTTACGTTTAGTAATGGAACCTGTGTTCTTGAATTGTCGATAGTCCAGTAGAATGCTGTAATGTCCTGGAGAATCAGTTTCGCATTGCCATCGGAATTAACGTTGCACCGTAACAACTGATAAACATCGCACGTAATTTAACACGCAAAACACTTTCTGCTGCATAGTTGCGGTTTTACCAATTACACTCGACATGTGCTTAAGGAATAATGAAAGAAGTAGAATATGATAAATAAGGTTCATTCCTGTAGGATGTTCCAAACTAGAATCAATCTTTCTATAGTAAGCGCAATCAATTCTTAAAACATTCAAGTAAGCAAAATTTAAAAATAACTTTTCAATTTTTCAAATACGTAAGGTTAAAAAGTTTGGATTATATTTGAAACAATAAACGCTCCAAACTTTCATTTCCAAAATGTCAAGTAAGACTTCAAAGAAACGTAATTTTACATTAATTTCATTTTTCATTACTCATTTTCGTTTGTAAATAAAAGATCAAATTTTAGTAGATGCCTAGAACAAAAATAATACGCTAGTTCAGTGATGATATAATTATGGTTCCACTGACAATTAAAGTGATAGTAGATTTTTTTAGTGCGTTTTGTTCGTTCTGTTTACCTAAACTATATCGTTTTTTCACTTTTATAAATATATTCCTAAAGTAAGTAGATAACATGCATCACAAATATAATCGTTTAGTTACCAATTACATACCTTTAACCTATTTTTTATGACCTGTAAACAATATTTAGAAATAAACTAAAAACAGTAAAAACAAATATGTCAAATTTAATGATGTTTTTGTTAAAAGTTTGGTTAGAATTAAATGTCAGTCGAACCAAAATGACATCACACCGAACTAGGGTATTAAATATCCAATAAGTCATCGTCCAACCAAACAAATTGATCGTCTAGATCCTGAAGATAGAGAAGAAAAAGTTAGAGAATGGTTCAAAAGGAAGGAGAAAGAATTGAAAAAGAAATCGAAAAAACGACATACAAAAAAGCGTATTATGTAAATGATTCAATTTAATTTAAGAACTTTTTAAAATATAATTCGTCCATACTCTTATTTTTCATGTAATTTACTTGATAATTAATAAATAAGATTTATTTATATACACTGGGTTTACGAGTTATACGACTGAATACCCTTAGGAAAAAAAAGAACAAAATATTAAAAAATTAAATTAAAAATGTTATCGACTCAAATATATTTTAGCACAAGTTAATGCACTTTTTTGAATTTTGGTCAGTGGATCTTAGAAAAAATACACTGGCCAACTCGAGAGTGAACTATCCGTATCCCATTCAGTATCGTATCGTGCGATGGAGCAATCATATCCACTCTTGTTGCACAAACTTGTATTTTTAAGAGGGTTGTCAAGAATTTTCGACTTCCAAAAAAACAACAAGGCTGCTTCTTGTTTTTTCTCTTCTTTATCATTTCTTCTATTTTCATAAAATTTTTTGTCCATTCCATTCCTTTCATTTTTTGTTTTTCATTCCATCCAGTTTTTGGTTTATTGTTTCATTATTTTTCTTTATATCCTTCATCACCAAGGTAATGTTACGTGAAATTAATTTTAAATTAATTTCAAATTTATTTTTGACAACAATTTCTCCATAACCCCTCGTAACACAACGTAAACGACCACCGCTCGCTTTCTTCTCGAAATTTGGAAAGCACCGTTTGCGCACGGTCCATAGGGTTTCTTTGGGCAACCAGTCGTCATAAAACCGATTCGTTTGAATTCAACCGGTCTTTTTAGTGTATCGAATTTAACGTGCTAGCTTTTGCCGATAAATATATTAAATTAGTTGCTAGTAATTATCTGTCTTTTATGTGTTTGTTGTGTGTTAACGTTGGGATAATTATCAGGTAATGTTTCTATCGCCTTATATTATTCACATTTTGCTGGATTTCGTTGAAAGGCCCCTAACTAATAATATTTTTTAAGCTTTCTTTATTACTTTGATATATGTATACGCGGGGAGGCAACTTAATAATTGAATTACAAGTCAGTCTGGAAATACAGTTTAAACGGAAATTTATGGATTTATGGCTCTTAACTTATTTTGGAATTATAAATAGCTTATATTTTGTTCAGATGATGTAAAACTAATTGTTATAACTTATTTTGTCCTCATAAATATTTTATATTCTGTTCAGATGATGTAACTTTAATATTTGTCGTGATATTTTATGTTCTGTTCAGACGATGTAACTTTAATATTTGTCCCGTATATTTACTTTTACATACGGTACTGAGGTTCTTTTTATTTCTAAACCTGTAGTGGCTCCAAGAAGCTCCAAGAAGCCCCAAGAAGCCCCAAGAAGCCCCAAGAAGTAAAGAAGCTCCTAGTTGCTCCTAAACGCTCTGAGAAACAGAAAGTACCGAGTTACGTAGTTACTCCAGGAAGCTCTAAGATCTAAGCTCTAAGAAACAAGAAGTCCGAGTTACGTAGTTTCTCCAAGTTCCGAGCTCCAAGCCCCAAATATCGAAGTACCTAAAGGCGAATTGTCCACGACACGACATACAAAAGCGAAAAACCGTACTTACTGTACTAGAGTGCCACATGGTCGGGACAATTAATAATTATCTAATTATCTTACAGTAAAGTTTATTCATTCAAATAAACTATCAGTCAATTTTAATTCATTTTCTATTCAGATTTAATCACTAACTATTAATTTATTATATGCAAAATTCCATTCTTTTTACTTTTTTTTATTAAATGTTTTAAATGTTTTTTTTTCTAAAGAATGAAGTTTTACATATAATAAATTAATAGTTAGTGATTAAATCTGAAAAAAATAACTCACCCTGTAAATCTGACTAACACATCTTAATCTTAGGATCCGTAGGTTCAACAATTACAATAATTTGACAGGATTGGAAAATGTTACATCCAAATTTCAAAAACGTCGTGTATACACTCAACGTTTGGGGGGTTTACAAAATTAATTTTTATACTAAAAAATATTTAAAAAAATATATATTAAATTTAATAAATTTGTGTTTTCTAAAACCTTCCTATTTTCTTTTCTGAACTCAATTGTTTCCTCTGCAACCTATCTACACCTCTCTGCTTGCTTTCATTTTTCCTCTGCACCCTCTAAATCTGCTTCGGTCCTGGTGGTCTACCTGGCACTTTCTCCAATGATTTGAATAAAATGTACCTTACTTTTCTTTTAAATTGTTTTATTTGTGCTCCAATAAAAGTATCCAATACATAGCAATTCTCTAAATATATTTATTTCCAATCAATAACCTTTCTCTTGATACAAAATTCAAATTTACATTTCTCGTTCAAAATTTTCCATCTGATATCTTAAATATTCTCATAACAATTATTCCAAAATATCAACATCTTGAATTTTTTTAAATAAATTCCAACTTTCAGGACCGACCTTACCCATCAAACGTTGATTAACTCATTTTGAAAACAAACAAAAATATGTCATTAAATTAATTTTGAATCACATATCATATTAATAGTTATATAGAGATGGATCATGTGTTTTTCTAAACCCCTAACATAAGTAAAAAATGGCAGAAATTTGGTTTTAAAACATATTTTTTCTGATTTCTGATCCTGATTGATGAGCAATTGCAACGCAACCCGATTTGAGCAATCTATATAACTATATATGTACATATATCACTGACTCTGTTAAAGCCCCCGAGCTATCACCATAATCTGTTTGTAGCCTGGCGGCGGCACTGTAGCCATTTGAAGGCCCAACTACTTTCCCTTTAACCAATTCACTCTCACTCCTAGTGGTCACGCATCCACTACGTGACCGAAGAGATGACTGCTTAACTCAGTATGTGGATGCACAATAATCTCGCAGATAGCCTTTTCGGCTAATTTAGAATATACGAAGTAAATTAAATGCTTTACATGCAGTTTAATAATATCAAATTGCTAAAACTTTAAATCTCGAGTAATTTTCTTAATGTAAAATCAAAAAAACCAAAAACCAAGGGTGATAAATAGTAAACTTGCACATTTAACCGTTAATCTTGCTATACTAACGCTATGTTCTGTGTTAAATGTATCATTCACTATCGTGCTAAGGGTCCATGACCTATTAAAGCAAGAAAGGGTACTTTTTATAAACCTTCCTATCTATTCGATCTTATCGTCTCAAAGATCGTTGTTACTAAAGAAAAACAACTTGAAATGACAATGGACGATATAAAAATCGTAAAAATTAATAATTTTTTATTAGATAGTATCTGGGAATGACGTATGTGATTCAATAAAGATAACATAATTTGAAACTTAAAGTACCAAAATCTTGTGAGGCAATATACATTAATTGTTTTTGTACCTTTAGCAATAAGATACAAAAACACAATTTATTTATCATTTAATGAGGGTAAAAACAAAACATTATTACTAGGTTGTAAATATAAGTAAATTCTATTTTTATAAATAAACCTTCCCTTCTTCCCCTGATATAAACTTCCAATAATAATGTATATTATTGATTTTAAAACCAAAAAAAGGTTTATTTTTATTTATTTTCTTTCGCATTTATTGATATAATGAATTTTTCGAAACCAGTTTTATAATGTTCAATATTATGCAACTGGTTGCGTAATGTAGATCATTTTGACACTTGCAACGATAAAAAAAATGTCGCTTTATATGTCTTTATTGGAAAAATATACTTGTCTAACTTTACACCACTTTAATCATCTACACCCGGTTGCAAAAACGTTCTAGAAATTTATGAACCTGATCAACTTTGACAGAGCTTAAGAATGTGATCTTTCTGAATGTCATTAACCTCAAATCACGCACAGTCTAAAAATCTGTCAAAGTTTATCGAGCTAATATTAATGAACATTGTTGTCGACTTTAATGAGTATAAAGAAGTACAAGTATAAAAATAAGGCAATCCAATCATTTCGTCGCGTACCAGAAATATTAATTGGGAGTTGAAATGTATCTGACGATGATAAGGTGAATGTCGAAACACATACAATTACGGTATGTTTTTTGTCCACCAGTGACGGTGGGAATTTCGTTATCAACGGAATCAACTCTTACTCAAGTTTTGACATCTAAGCGAACTTTGTCCACCAGCATAAATCGCTCGACGTAAATGTTCAATTCGAATGAGCTGTATTTATCAATAAAACTTATAATCAGTTGATTTAATTGGTCCGTTCTTTTAAAGTGTACCGATATATCGAAACATTGAGTTACCTATTTGAATATTATATTAAACTAAGTGTTTTTTTTTTAATTGTATCACTTGTGATTTTGCAATCTTAAGTACAACATGTTATACGGTTTTTTAAGTTTGGCTGTCGTCCTTGTAGCTACTGTGAGGTAAGTGAGATTTTGGTTAAATATAACAATTTATGAACTGAAAGGTAAGGGATTGGTTACCATCAATATAAAAGATTCTTCATTACAGGATTATATTATTCTGATGATTTTTTATTATTAATCAGTAATCACTGATTTGACTCGTTTTAAGCCTGCAGATGACAGGAGCTCATTCAGTGTTTGTGTTCTGAGCTGATCAATAAATATCCCAGTGACGTAAAAAAATCTGTTGCATGTCAAATAAAGTTAATGAACCTTTTTTTTAAACTATGGAATTCAGTTGTAAATTTAAAGATAAAGTTCTGATTGGTCAGTAATCTTCTAAAATTTATAAAAGAAGAAGCGACAAAGAAGGACGTTCTAATTCCTCTTTTTAAAGTAAGTTTTTATAATGAACTTGAACATTCAAGTTAATTTGGTATCATGAAAATGAAATCCTAACTTACTATAAATTATTTTAAGGCTGTCAATTCCTGACTTGATAAACGGTTAACCGGTTTGACTGATTTTGACCGGTTTCGGTTTTAATCGAATTTTTACTATTATTATAACCGGTCCAGATATCCGGTTAACCGGTCCGATTATCCGGTTAACCGGTAGGTATATCTGGTTAACCGGTCCAAATATCCGGTTAACCGGTCAGATTATCCAGTCAACCGTTCAGATTATCCGGTTAACCGGTCCGATTATTCGGTTAACCCGTCCGATTGTCCGGTTAACCGGTCCGATCAAATCGAGCCTGTCGAACCGGACCGATTAGACCGGATTCAGCGGTTTAACTGTAACCGTGACCAGTTTAACCCGTCCTGGTTTATCCGTTACTGGTTTAACTGTAACCATCACCTGCTTAATCATGGCATATTTAGCATATTTTGGATAACTGTGATGTAAATTTATTAAAAAATAATAATTTTCTTAGTTTTGCTTTATTTTATTATTACATTTGAAATGTTTATATTTGTTTGTATTTTTTTATAAAATAAATACAGTCTCATTTTGTTTTACTTCGCCAAAAGTTGTAATTTAGTATCATTCATCGGACATTCTACCGTGCTCCAGAATTTTTAATATTTATCCATTCAAATAATAAATATTCCTGAAAAGTTCTGTTACATATATAAATGTCTATAAATTTTATAGCTTTTATGTGTTGTTTCAGAGCCTCAAATAATATTGATGGCCCATCTGTCTCGCAAGTTACAAAACCTATTGGCCTTGCTGAAGGACCCCATTGGGATGGAAGAAAAAATATTCTGTATTTTGTAAGTATACTAGATGGGGAAGTCTACGCATATCATTACCACTCCGACATATTGACGAAGATCACTCTCAATGGTAAATATTTAAAATGTATACGTTGTAGGTCATGATTGATAAAGACAGAGATATGAGTCATGTCTGTGATAACTGCATATTTTTCTGAATACCATTCAAACTGTCATTTAAAAAAGTAGAATTATAATAAGAGTACATTGTTCCATACTCTTAAGCACAATAAAAACATTATTAAAATCGTCAAACCAAACAAGTAAAATAAATCTAAATGACTTTAGTACTCAATTTTTGGAAAATAATTAAAATTACAATAAAAAATATACACATTTATTCTTCATACGAAGTTAGATTTTACTTATAACTTTGATTTTGGCCCTATTAACATATATAATATAACAATTTGTGACAGTTTTTGGGTAATGAATTGATTTTGACAAGAGATAGACATAGGCCAAATTTTGAAAACACATATTTAATAAGATATAGACTGAAATAGAGGAAAAATAGAAGGTAAAAACAAATAAAAAATTTAAAAAAAAAATGCGCTCAGTGATGGTCGAACCTACAACCCATGGTATGCCGTACCAATGTTCTAACCACTACGATAGAAAATATTATTTATTCTACATAAAAAATCTATGTTATAAAAATGGATACAATTAGTAATTTATCTATGCAAATATTACACAACCTTGACGGTTTTTTGTTTTTATATTTAATTTAAAAGTTTAAAAAAGAAATTAATTATAAGTATCACTAAATATTGATTAATCTTTTTTGTACATCTAGATGCATAAACTACAGAACGAAAAAGTTGGCGATATGTCTATTGAACGGATATACTTTCATATCCATTCTAGTAAAAACATGAAATTCACTAATCAAAGCTCATAATTAGTAAAATGGCAACTATTCTTTTTTAAGGTAGTTCACTCGCGACAGTCGTACCTACATAAAAATATCGCTTAATGGTGAATACCAATAGTTCGCGATTCTCAATGCTAATCAATTTTATTTTTGTAAGAGACTGTACAAAACACATGTAAGCTTTATATATAAGGATATGTTAGAATTTTAATAAAATCCATCCGGCAACCTCATAAATATATGAATGGTTTGCTATAAAAATTTGTGACTTCCTCATATTAATTTTAAGGGTTTGTTTTGGTTTAAACAGAACCGCTGATTCCAGTTCTCCAAGACAGTGGACGAATTAATTTTTCAAGAAAATGTCGCGAGGTTATAACAACCTCTTAGCTGATCGAGTGTTATTTGGTACAACGCGTTGATTGCAGCGTATACAATGTTGCCAAGTTGTAATAATTTTACGCAACTACGCGTCGATTGTTTTAAAAATATTTTTATTTTAAAAATCTATATCTTTTTACTAAGACGGTCAAAAAATTCAGCGTTTCTTTAGAAAATTTTATAACATCTTGATTTACATTACATTAGTTTTTAAAAAATATGGTAAGAACCATTTTCAAGATATCTTGAAATAAATGCATTACTTGTGTACATGAGAGGCTTCAAGAGTGTTAATTATGCACATTTGGTTGCTAATATCCCGTTTCACAGACGGTCAAAAAATTTAATTTTTTTTTTAGTTACATAAAAGACACTTTCATTAACCTTATATTTCAATTTTATTGAATTCTTAAGAAAAGCCGTTTTACGAGTGAACTACCGTAAAATGTAAAATTAGGGACATATCTGTAAAACTAATTATTATATAATTGAAAACGAGTTCTAGAAATCACAGGCTATGCACGCTTGAAGTGTTGCGCAAAATATTAACGCATGCAATTTTAGTTCTCACCAATTATGATGTAGTTCCCACTGATGAAGGTGTTCTTTTTGTTCGTTTACTCCTCAGAGGAGTATGATTAAAGATTTAAGAGGTTAAGGTTATCAGTCTCATCGTTAGGGGTACTGAAGGTTGTTTCTGTTTTCTTCCAGTTCATTTACCTCTTCCTTTTTTTGACAGTATGTACAGGGATTTTTCCGAATCAATATCTTTGAACCTCTAGCAGAATAGGTCATTGATTCCTACCCACGGCTTTCTTTTGGTTTTCTGATTACCATAGGGTGCTGATTAGTCAAACATTATGTGCTTCTATTAGTTTTAGAAGCGTCTCTACAGTTTTTCCTCGACTTTAAGGTAGAAAGAGTGTGGATGTACTTTACACCTACTTCAAACTTTATTCTTTTCTAGTTGCTCAGGTGAGGGATTTTTGCCTTGAGCCATTCTGCTAACTGTGAAGATTGACAGTCGATAAGGACATTTCCGGAAGTAAATGGCTTCTCTTTCAGAGAATATCTCTTCTACAATAGGTTCGTCCAGTAGGATTTGTTTGTCCGTACTGAGGATGGTCTTAGAGAACTCTTTAGGTAGGATCACGACTAACACAGCTGATTGAGGTGGAGTTGGTGCGATTTTACTGTTTTTGTTTAATTTTTTGCGGTGGTTTTTTTGTGTGCAATGAACTTGACCTGAGATCTGTGATTAACAACTTCCTTTCTTACTTCCCCTGGTGCCACCTAAATCCTGCCCTAATGTGTACTCGTCTCAGTAGTTTTCTTTTTTTTTTACTCTTTTTGAAGAGGAGCTTCATTTGTCGATAACAGTGAGAGAAAGATAATGAAGAAGACGACCCATTGGCGCACTTCTCTTCTACTCCTTTCTCTTTTTTCTATTGTGAGGTTCTTTCACTTTTGAAGAGTGTTGTATGGAGCTCTTAGGGTAACGTTAGATACCCTATATATTCTTACGACAATTTATCCCTCGACACCCTGAATAATTTTTTCGCGGTGGTTTTGAGTTTCTAATCTCTTAGGGTTTGTTCATGACGAAGATGCCTAGATTATTGATGATTGATAGGCGATGGTTAAGTAGATGTCAATCGATGTAACATAAATGTACGGTTAAATAAGAGTGTACATACCAAAAATAGAATAGAATAATGTTTATTTATCAAAAGATAATAAGTACAGAAAGTAACGTAGGTACATTATGAGGTTAGAAAGTAGATTAACAATTTAAAATCCAAACATGAATAAAAAAATTAAACAAAAAAAATTCGTTAGGAAAAATCAGTGGGTTTTTGAATATTAAATTAAATATTATTGTTTCAAAACAAACAAAACATAACATAAAAAACGAATTGTGTTTATATAAACTTTACATGATTCTTCATCTTTTTTTTGAACACATTTACACTTGAACTTGCTTTGACGTCATCAGGCAGAATATTAAACTGAACTATACCCTTATGAAACAAACTTTTCATGGAGCTGGTTTTGTTACTTGAATTCACATAAAAATTTATAGAATTTGCCGTTCTAGTGTTACGCCCGTGAATATTTGCAACTGGAACAAGCTGACAGTTTAAGTATTCAGGTAACATGTTGTTAACAATTTTATATATAAATATCATGGTCTGAATATAAAGTAGATGTTCAATTTTCATCCAATTTAAAGCTTCCAACATTAACTGTAAACTAGTAAAACGATTACATCCCAATATTGCCCGCATTGCCTTATTCTGAAGGATTTGTAACCTATCAAAATTAGAACACCCTGTATAAATAATAGTACTACAGTAATAGAAATGAGGTAATATCAGTGAATTATAGATGGTTTGTCTAATCGATATAGATAAAAACAGTGATGCCCTTCTCATAAAACCAATTTTTTTACAAATTTTTTTAGACATATAACCAATGTGCTTATTAAATTTCAATTCTCTGTCTAGTATTAACCCTAAGTATTTTATTTCTTCAACATTCTCAATGACTTCGTCATTTATGACTACATTTAAATTTAAACCTAAATACTTATTATACAGAAAATTATTCCCAATAAACATAGACTTCGACTTTATTTCATTTACTTTTAATTTATTAATTTTAAATTTCTCTGTTAATAATTTTAATTCTGAGTTTAAAGTTTGAATTACTGTTCCAAAATCTTTCCCATACCAATAAATTAATGTATCGTCAGCGAATAGATGAATTTTACATTTGTTTAGTACAGATCCCAAATCATTTATATATATTATAAAGAGTAAAGGACCCAAGACATTGCCCTGGGGAACGCCTACATCGTTTAATAATAAATCTGATGTATTATCATTAATCTTTGTTTTTTGAAATCTATTTGATAGATAATTTTCTAACCAATCATATACAGAACCATTAAACCCATACCTTTTTAATTTTAATAAAAGAATTCTGCGATCTATAGTTTCAAAAGCTCTTCGAAGGTCTATAAAAACTGCGCAAATGCCAATTCCTGGTTTATCTAATATTTTTTTCATGTCAGACACAACTAACTGCAGAGCCGTTTCACAAGAATGTGAGTTTCTGAAACCTGATTGATAACTGCATAATGTATCATTATCATTTAAAAACTTCACAATTTGTTTATACACAACAAGTTCAAGTACCTTTTCACAAAATGGCAACATATTTATAGGTCTACTCTATTTGTATTTATCACCTTAGGAATAGGAACTATGGTAGATGTTTTAAAACATTGAGGAACAGTTCCTTTTTCCAAACTTAAATTAATCAAATTTAATAAAGGATAACCCAGAACGTGATAAAGATGCCTAATTAAATCAATACCAATTTCATCTGTACTATTTTTGTTTTTCTTTTGGGAATTAATTATTTCATAAAGTTGTTGAATATTAATCATCTGAAAGTTTGTCATTATTACAGCATTTATTGGAATTGAATCAAGCAGGACGTCATCACATATTCCAGTTATTCCTATATTTACCACTAGGTCATTTATACTTGTTGCATAATACTGATTTAAAATATTTGGCAGAATATTACTATAAATTATTCCATTACAATGTAAGGTTTCTGATATTATTTCTGTATTTTTCGTTCCTACTATTTTTTTAAGACTTTTCCACATTAATTTCGGATTTCCTCTATTGTCGTCAATTGATTTCTCATAGTATTTTATTTTAGCTTCCCTTAAAATTCTAACCGATGAATTTCTGGTTTCCTTATAGTTATTCCAATCCTCTACCTGATTCGTGAAAACAAATTTTTTGTAAGCTCTATTCTTAACCGAAATAGCATTTCTACAATTATTATCAAACCATTGATTAACACAATTAGTTTTCTTTACAATACTTGGTTTAGACACAACATTCATTACAGATAATATGTTATTCATAAATATATCACTAACAATATTTACGTTAGTAAATGAATATCCCCAGTCTTTTTCAATCAACATATTGACCATTTTATTGTAATATAATTTACCTTTAGTTTTTTTAAAGTCAGTATGCTTTTTTCTTCCGTTTTCCCTTCTTTTAATGTATACGATAGAATGATCAGAAATGATGCAATCCTTACCAACATCAGCGGTTATGGTGTAATCATTAGTGAAGACAAGATCGATGATCGATTTAGAATCTTTAAATATTCTAGTATATTCAGTTACTAATTGTCTCATGCCGTTATTTTCAATACATTCTTGTAACCTTTTTTTCCCTTGGCAATTTTTATCATAGTGAATATTAAAATCTTCTGTAATGATAACGCTACAACTACTATTTTGTTCATAATAATTATCCATCCAGTTCAAAAATGTTTCAAGAAAAATACTCAAGTTACCCTTAGGTATCTATACACAACCTCAACACAATATATTGTATTATGAATTTTTACATTTAGAGATAGAAGCCAAAAATTCATATTTATAACAACTGTTTCAACATTAAATACTTTAAAACATTTTCTTGTAAAAACAAGAACACCTCCTGTGTGCCTACTGTTTGAATCACAGCGCATTAAGTTATAACCCTCAATTGCCAATTCGGAATTTTCAAAGTCGCTAGTGATATGCGTTTCAGTTAAACCTAAAAGCATAGGCCTATAAGTGTTAACATAATTTAATATTTCATCTTTGTGACTATAATAACTTTGAGCATTAAAACATACCATAAAAATATTTTTCTTAGTGAGCTGTAATTGCTAATCATTTTCATTATAAATAGTTTTCCGTTGAATGGATTGAACAATTCTTAAATAACACTTACCATTTCTATCGGTGGCGTGGTGGTTGCTATCTAAATTTAGGTTTAGTTGTTGATTTGCACGTACACAATTTACACATTTCTTTACATCGCTATTACAATCATTGCTTCCTTGATCACCTGCACATAACACACAAGAAAGCTTCTCTCTGCAATTTTTGGCTTCATGTTTAAAACCACCACACTTAAAACATCTCTTGACGTTGAAATATTCGTAGACTCTGCATATCCTCCATCCAATATACAATTCCGGGAAAGAACAGCTAAGCAAATTTTTAAGAGTTTCAGGATCTACTTCTACTATAAGATTGAAACGGCCTTTTCGTATTTTTGTAGAGAAAATCTTTTCAAATTTAAAACTTTGCGGCTGTGGTAATCGGTTCTGTCTAACAATCTTTGGTATTAACTCATTTTGCTCTAATTCATCCATTTCTTCTTGATTAATTCCTGTTATAATTAACCTTGGTAATATTTTCTTTGGTATATACCTGGATATCATAATCACCTTCCCATTTTCGTCTTTAGTTTATCTTCGACTGTTTTAAGAGCTTCTTTATTTGAACATTTTACGACAATACCTCCACTCTTAGTATTCTTCTCTATATTTAAACCAATTTGTAAGTCCGTTGGATCTATATTACTTTTCACATCATCCTTTACTGCATTTGCTTCTTTTCCAGTCTTTGATGTAACCACCAAGACATGATTTTGCTGTTTAACTGATTCGGCATATGAATTATTAATATTATTATTAGGCACATTATCAGATTTCACTTCCATCCAGATTAGTACACCCTTGCACCATCGATGCTTACATCAATATTTACCACGATATTTACAGGCATCTTGAAATCTTGAACGCGACTGGCTCACATATGTGTGTGCCATAATTATTTATTTTTTTAACTGCTATATTTGAAACCAGCTAGTATATTTACAATGAATGTCCAGGTCTCCGTTGTTTTAATAGGTGCAAATTACCTTACTCCTCTTTTCATTGTTATATTTATATCATATGTCCTGACTTTTCTATTTTTTGGTACTTAGGTCAGGTTACGCCAGTCGTACCTTCAAGAAAAAACCCAAATCTGCTGTTGGTCGGTGTTGACAGATCAATAGTTGCCGTTGAATGGGACGGAAAGAATAAACAGGGAAACCAAGCTGTAGTGACCACAGTAAACAAGCAGATTGCTGACAGTAGATTCAACGATGGTAAAGCCGACAAACAGGGAAGACTCTGGTGGGGTAAGTATTATATGTATATTAAGCATTCAATTTTAAATGTTTTTCATGGTGTATATCAAAGTGTTAAAAGCAAAATATGTTCACCTATAATGATAAAACATTTATTGCTTTTAATAACATCTTGTTTTACAGTAACATACACGTTCATGAAATACATAAAAAATGATTTGGTTCATTCAAACTATAGTATTTTATAAAATAAAACACAAAAAATGATTATGATTACCATATGTTCTAAAAACTATAACCGCCCACCCCATAATCCTTTGATTTTTGTTTAAATCTGAAATTTTATTATTTACCTCTTAATTTTATTTTACTTTAAATTTTATACCTACTGTATTTGGCCTTTTTCCTCTAATAGCAGTAGTAATCGTCTAGTTAATTAATTAACAATTTATATACCCACGTTGTGATAGTGTTAATTAAAATTAACAAGGATTCAATGCAATGTTTGGTGCAAATTGGCAAATAAAACCATACAAAATTTATATTTAATACTTATGATTAAGATATATTTTATTTAGCTAGATAGCTAGATATACACATAATTGTATTTATTTCAACGAATAGGTATAGAGGTGATAACCAACGGAGTTAACGAACAGCGCTAATTCGCCAGTTCGTTAACTTACTGTGTTGATGTTCACATATACTTTATGGTTTAAACCTACTAGAATGGGTAGCTAATATAGGTGCCCCCTTGAGCTAACGAAGTGTTAATTCACCAGCTGGAAAGCTAACTGGTAAATATCCCCATCGGGAGGATAAATAACCCAGGACGATACATCCCTGCATATTTCAATAATATTTATATTTTCTAATAAAATGATTCAAATTCACCTATCGAAAACAGATGTCCAACTTAATTGTCTTTTGGGGTGAACATCTGAAGGCCATCTAATTATCTCTCAAAGAAAGTTAGATTAACCTTTTCCACTCACCATTAAAAATACAGACATCAGGTTCGCCTAAACCAGACATTGTTTACTTATTTTATCTAGCATTGTGACAGCGTCGATTTTGGGTATGTCGCAGTGTTGAGCATCGCCTTACGTCGAAACGTCCAGCGTCGTAGTGGATAGGAAGGTTTTTATTACGGTACTGCATCGGGACGCAAAAATAGGAGATGTGAAACGTGACAGCGTTCGGGACCTAGGTCATCAGGACGTGGAACACCCGCACGTAGAACGCCACACATAGAACACTCACACGTAGAACGCCCGCAGGTAGAAAGGTAGGAAGTAGGGCAGAGGGACGTTGAAGGGCTGGACGTGCAAGCGTTCGGGAGATAGGTCTTAGGGACGCCGAGATATAAGGAAGTAGGGTGGAGGAGGGACGATAAAGGGCGGGACGTGGAGCATTCGGGAAATGGTCTTCGGGACGTAGAACGTCGTGACGTAGGAGCATCGATAGAAAGTAGAGTAGGATAAGCATTGGTAAGGAAGAGCGTCGATTTAGGAAAGAGACCGAATACTGAACTTGAAATATAACTCAATTTGAAAAGCAACTGAATTAGACTGGATTCAAAATAAATCTTTCGTTTCTCGGAGTTTGGGTATTTAATTTAATAAGAAATTTGCCGAAAGTAAACTTAGACTTGAAGTCTGGATATTGACAGGTGGAAATGGACCCAGTATGTATAGAAAGGACAGCTTTTACCACCCGATCTGGATTGTGGCAATTCAATGATACGCCATTTGGACTATGTAATGCCCCGTTCATTTGAAAGACTAATGGAAAACGTATTGAGAGGGTTATCATGGAAAACATGCCTGGTGTATTTAAACGACATCATAGTCTTGGGAAAGATATTTGATGAACATCTAAAGAACTTAGAAGATGTTTTTAAAAGATCAAGCTGCCCAACTGATGCTAAACTTCAAGAAATGCCAACTATTTTAAAATAAAGTTTATTACCTGGGTCATATAGTCAACACGGATAGCATGGCAGTAGATAATGAGAAAGTCTCTTCCATCAAGCAATGGCCACAACCAACTGATAAACATCAAATAAGAAGTTTTCTTGGACTTTGTACGCACTACCGAATATATATATATATAAGGAAGTTTGCAGATATTGCTTAGCTATTAAACATGACTCACAGAAGAAGCGAAAGTATTCTGCTAGGACAAAGACTGCCAAACATTAAAGAAACATTTAACAGCAGCGCCAATACTAGGCTACCAGAGGGAAAATTTATTTTGGACACTGATGTCAGTAATATGCGAATTGGAGGAGTGCTATCACATATTCAAAAAGAGTACTGGATTATTTTAGTAAAGTGCTCTCGAAACCTGAGCGAAATTACTGCGTCATGAGAAGAGAACTTCTGGCAGTTGTGAAATGCGTGGAACACTTCTACCAATACCTATATGGAAGGACATTCTTAATCCGTACCAATCATGCAGCCCTTAAGTGGTTGATGCAGTTCAAAACCTCAGAGGGTCAAATCGCCAGATGGATTGAACGACTTCATCAATACGACATTAAGATCGAACATAGAGCCGGAATAAGCCTTAGAAATGCCGATTCTCTTTCTAGAAGACCGTGCCCATCAGAGTGCTCTCATTGCAACAGAGCAGAATCCAAAGGAAGGGAACTACTAAGAACAACTGTAATCAACGATGAGTGGGCCCGTGCCAAACTTAGGAAAGAACAAGAGGGCGATCCAGTTTTAAAGAAGATGCGACAATGGAAAGCATATGAAACTGCAGTAAACCACTATTAATATACTAAGCAAATGCACACAAAAAAAACAATAAGTAAAAGAATTCGGACTCGAAATGTAATAAGACTTGGCAATTGAATGAGTGGCAGTTATAAGAATAGCAATGGATCCAAAATTATTTGAGCAACAAAAAGAAAACCGATAGAAGCCATATAGTTAATAAATAGTGTTTTATTATTGTCATTTTATAGCTTGTAATGAATCAAATTTGGATTTTCCAAGAAATGCAGCATTTAAGAATAATTATCTTCCGATTTAACACATGTAGTAGCATGGTAGGTCACTGTTGTCCACCAAAGTTTTTTAAACATCAGGCCGCGGTAACTCATGGTCGTCAAAAAAAGCCATACTAAATTTACTGACATTGAATTATAGCGTTGTTGGATACAGGGCAATACTATCACTTGTAGTAGATTTCGTGTTTGTAATTGGTAATCAAAATACACATACTAAAAAAATTGCTGCAGCGCTGGCCAGTAAAGGCTACCAAATTTAGTTTCCATTGCGACACTTTTCCCATTAAATATCCCCCTTTTGTGCTGGTTTAAGTTGTTTACGAACAACTTATATAATTAAGTATCCATAAGTCAGAACAATCTTTGTTTTTTATAGGTACGACGGGGAGAGATACAGTAAATCCCGGCCAAGCTTTCTTGTACAAAATAACCAAACACAATATCAACGACCCAACAGTCGCCATTTCACATGTTACTAATAGTAACGGACTAGCGTGGAACAAAGCTAATGACAAATTTTATTATATCGACACGCCATCCCTTAAGGTAGTCGAATATGATTACTCTGATGAAAATGCCACAATATCATCGGGCAGAACAGTGTTTGATATCAACGATCACAAAACAAATATCACAGGTAATATGAATTTTATTTTTAAAATTAATAATATCTTTGTTGGTGTCCGTCCGAAGGTTCGGCTTAGGTTATGGTTTTGGCTAGTTTCAGCCTATAATAAGGGTTTCTGCTGTAGTTTCGGTTTCGGCGGGAAACTGTTTAAATAACTTTTTCAAATAACAAGTAAAAAACAAGTCTCAACTTGAGAATCACCCTGTATAGTTACAATTTTCATTTGAGTTAGAAACGAAAAACTTATACTTTACAAACAAGTGTGACTTTTTCTGGTAATTATAACCTATAATTCAGATATCAGAAGCCATTTTTTTATGAGTTTAAGATAAAATTACAAACTTTGTAGGGATACAATTAATCAACCGTTTACTTAAGTACATAATCTAAATTATCAATCTAAAACATTGATATAATTAACAATTCTGAAAGAAATCTTTTGTTTAAACTTAAATTTTGCATCGTGAGGTCCAAACAAAAATGTTTATGAAGCAGACCATATACGACTCTGAAATGAAATCCATATTAGGATCACTTGTATGACGACCAAAAGTTCACCAATGTCGACATTGCCGTTAAGTAAAGTTATTCTTACATTATTTACCAAAAACTTAACAGTTGAATCTATTTATCTATTCTTAAAGTTTGGAAAAAATAAATAAAATAAGTACTACTTCTTGTAATAACATCGGTACTTAAGTTTCATTGCATAAGGTCGGTACTTAACTTTAATTGTTTTTAAAATTTTGCACATACCTACACATATTCTCCTTAAATTAGTTTTGTACAAAAATATACATCTTTATAAATATTTAAAATCCAGACAAAGTACCTATTAATGAAAATTATATTTACTGCCAGTTATCAACAAAGTAAGTCATGATAATGCCAAAGTGACGTACAATGAAGTCGATTTTTTAATTAAAAATATTGCCAAAGTAATATAGGTAAAGAAATTTTAATGCAATGATAAATAAAAAAATCCAACACATGACTTTCCTATCTAGTTATTATAGGCTTTTTCCGGTTATTTTGTACAACCTATTGCAGCATCTCTATAAATGTTTAGAGGATAAACTAAATATATACATTGTACTCATACATCTATCTCGAAACATTTTTCTATAGATATTCATTGAAAACGAAAATACTGAAAAATTTAAATTTAGCACTTTTCCATTACGGTACATTTTAGAAAAATCATGTATAAACAAAAATTATAGAGATCGATATCGCAAACAACTTTTAGTTCAACAATTTTCATAAAAATCAGAATTTTGCACATTTTGTCAAATTTCTCGAATACGGACCATTTCAGGAAATTTTGACATGAAACAAAAACTATAGATAATAATATTAGAAGTAACTTTTATTTGAACAATTTTCTTCTTCAAACATAAATAACAGATATATTCCATAAAATATAAAACCGGCCTCCCATAATCTAATCAGTTCATTAGACGTTGGAATAAAGCTTAAGTTTAAACTTTGGTGTTTTTCTGTGTACAGGTTTATGAGTTATGCGACATACAGACACACAGACACAAACACACACACACACACACACACAGATACACAGACATCATCGCGAAAATAGTCAAAACGGATTCAGGGGACCTCAAAACGTAAAAATCCGTCGAAAACTCGAGGTCGAAAAAATCATGATTCCTATACTTTCCTTATATCTGTATACAGATAGGAAAGTAAAAAATAGATATCAGAAGAACCAGTACTACCAGGAGGGATAGTAGTTACCGAAGAAAGAAAGCAGAGTAGGTAAAGCAGATAGCTGAAATAGATATTCAGATACCAGTTAGATTCCAGAGAGAGAGAGAGAGCGAGAGAACGAGAGAGCGAGAGAACGAGAGAGCGAGAGAACGAGAGAGAGCTGGAAAGAACCAAGTTGCATGAGAGAGAAAATAAAAGAGGAAATATTTGTGTTAATTAGTTATTTTTATTAATAGATATTTAGTATTTTTGAGAGAGAGAGAGAGAAAGCGAGAGAGCTGGAAAGCTGGAAAGAACCAAGTTGCAGGAGAGAGAAAATAGAAGAGGAAATATTTGTGTTAATTAGTTATTTTTATTAATAAGTATTTAGTATTTTTGTAAAGTTTAGGCAACGAATCATCCCTGTAAGAGTCTTGAGCAAGGGATTTGGATATTTAACAGATTTGGTGTTTCCATATCACAATATTCAGTCAGTTTGCGCGGTGTTCATTATTGAAAAAGAAAATTAATTTAAAAACAAAACATGTTTGGTATTTAAATTAATATATGTATAGGTACCTCTATTGCTTTTGAAAGTATAGGAAGAAGGAAAATTAGTTATATAAAAATACATTTGGACAATGTGCTATAGTACAATTAGTAATAATTCTGGTTCATTCGTTATTATAAAAAGTCATCCTAAACCTGAACAAAATAATCGAAACACTGTTTCACCCAATACACGAGAAAAAAATTAAAATATCCCTAACTATGTACTATGCAAAATAACCCACTTTCCTGACAAGAAAAAAGAAAACTGTTTGTAATGTTAAATATTTAAATATTTTAAAAGTATCAGATTGGTGTGAAGTTGACTATTATTTTCAAATATTCATTTTCTAATATCTTTGATTGGAAGTACAAAAAATTATCGGTTAGTAATTTTTTTATAAACAATTCTATAAATCAAAAAAATTTAAACAACTAAGCAATATTTAAATAATAAACACACATCACGACGCCACTGGCTCTTCCTAATTTCTTCTGCTTCTAAAAAATATGAATTTGTATGAAAATCATGAGAATATTATGAAAATTTATTATTGCTATTTTTAATATTTAACATTTTTTTAATACCTTCAATTGGATCACTATAGGAGTGCCAGATGGTATGACAATTGACGATGAAGATAATTTATACGTTGCTTTGTATGGAGGTGGAGCCATAATCAAAATTAATCCTAAGACTGGAGAACTTCTGAATGTAAGTTTAACAATGATAAAGCATGCATTCTATTTTATTCAAAAATGGCCGTTTATATTTCTAATAAATGGATATTTTTTAGATAATCGCCATTCCATCTAGAGACGTCACATCTGCCATGTTCGGAGGGCCCAATCTAGATATTCTCTTCGTCACCACTTCTAAAATTAGTCTAACTCCTGAAGAACTATTACAATGGCCTGCAGCTGGCAGCGTGTTTGCTGTCAAAAATCTTAATGCCAAAGGTTTACCTGCTTTTACTGCAGATATCATAGATAGTATACCATCGAGGGTAAGCATTTGTCTTCATCATTTTATTATTATTTTTATTAAAAAACTATACTTCTAGAATATGTCCATCATCAAAATGTTTCAATAAGAGTGCTAAGTTTTTAGAGAACTATGAATTAAAGGCTGTCAAATATACTTTCTTCTTGGAAATTAAGTAAAAATAAATTGTACTTTTAAAAAAATAAATAAATTTTTTAACATTGGAAATTGGTCCTATATACAGAAATTTATGAGCAGATACTATTTCAAACTGCATCTTAGTTCAATGACAGATAACAGTTATATAGGGAAGGGTGAGCCACATTGAGACAATTTTTACTTTTTTTGCTACAGTTACGCATGCTTTATAATCTTTCATCTGATTGTACACATTTTTTGATTAAATTATTAACACGTTATAATTTTTTTTAAAAATATGATTTTGTCTCAAGGTAGCTTTTACTTAACTTTGATTTGGTTACAGGTGTTCTAAGGAAGGAAATAAAAAATTTTTAACAAAAAAGTTTTGGAATTAATATTAAGTATATAAGAGACTGTGTGCTGTTTTTGAACGTAAACACAAGTGTCTTTGAACGATATTTAAACTCGAAGGACCATATTATTAATTTTGTACTTTGTTCAAATTAAAGTTTTTCGAGGTTTACATGTTTACCAAAGAACTTGTGGCACCAATTACAAAAGTTTCTTAATTACCTTTACTTCTAATAGCCGATCACGATATATAAAGACAATTTAAAGATATTTTACTGGTTATCACTCCTTTTATGTTATAAAATAAATATTCTTCTTTATAACATAAAAATGTTGTAAGTAAAGATGTAAAACATATTTTTTTGTTTCAGGATTATGGGAATCATTAATGAAAATGCTTCGAACTTTCTTTTAGCTTTTATAATAAATTTAACTAAAATTAAAAAGATGTTTTATTTCGAAACCTAATTTTATTTTCGTACCAACATATTTTTTAACTGTTAATTTAAAAATAAAGTTGACCTTTTGGAAGCCAATGGCAAACCACCAAATTAGTATATAGCAATAAGACATTTTAAAAACACATATCGTCCACCCTTTGAGTAGCAACTGTCATCTTGCTACAACACAATAGAAGTGAATCATAAATCCGGTATTATTTTTATCGTAACTTATCTATTTAATATTACTAACTCGTATTTTTACCAGCATTTATCTTTTAAATCTTGGTATGTTTCCAACGCATTATTATAAAAACCAAATGTACGTTGATATCACGTTCTTATTTTGTAACCTGCTATTCTAGAATAAAGTTGTTCTCTAGTTTATGAGTTATTCAAAATAATTAACCAAAAATATATATAATTTAGTACCGGTATTAGCCTATGTATTTTCGAATGGAGAAACCCCTTAGATTATATTATTATCTAAGGGGGGTTTTCTTGGATAAAAGAAGAAACTCCCAACATAAACACGCTCCTATTATTTAGACATTCGGATTAAACTCTATAGGGCCATGTAGTACGAAGGAGAGTTGGCAACTCAAATATACCACAAAAGAATCATCGGGTTTTAAAAACATATATTTCAGAAAGTATTACAGATATAATACGCATGTCAATAGAAAAGGAAAATATATCATTACAAATGTTTGATGTGGGCTCCTCGCGTCACACGACATTCTACGTCAAAATGATAGTCCACTTCGGCCCATACACGTAGTAATGTGGTTTGCATCGAAATCGCTTCCGCAAAACTTTTGTAAAAACTCCCGAAATTTTGACCAACTGCTTTCACAGATTTGTCAAGAATTCGTGGTCTTCCGGTAGGTAATGGAACCTGTATTCTTGAATTATCGATAATCCAATAGAATGCTCTAATGGAGAATCAGCTTCGCATTATCATTGGAATGCACGTTGCACCGTAACAACCGATAAACATCGCACGTAATTTAACACACAGAACGCTTTCTGCTACATAGTTGCCGTTTTACCAATTACACTCGACATGTCCATAAGGAATAAGGAAAGAAGTTGAGTAAGATAAATAAGGTTCATTCCTGTTGGATGTTCCACCAAGAACTAACCTTCCTAAAGTACCAATGCGTAATCAATTTCTAAAACATTTAGGAAAGCGAAATTTAAAAATAACTTCTCAAATACGTATGATTGAAAAGTTTCGATTATGTTTGAAACAAACTTATAATTAAACGAAACCAAACATTGATAATTAATAACAAATTACGTTATTTTTACATTGATCAACATAAAAATTTTCATTGGTTTATATTACACCACAAAACAGCTAATCATTTGGTGTATTGTAATTGACACTGTTGGACACTGCACTTATAGCAAATGAAAGAACCTACGGTTAAATTCATTATGGTTATCGGCAAAATAATTATCCATACCCATGGCCCACCGAATCCATACCCATTTATTTAACCGTAACCACTATTGATTCTATGTATAGTAATCATGGGCCTGAATAGCTATATTCAGAGTTATCCATTTGGACCTTATTGGCACATGATTGGAATAGTTTATATGTTTATGAGTTCAGTGCTTAGAATATTGTTCTAAGGTTCAGTGGGTATATCACGTGTTTGAACAAGAACTAACCTTTTTGACTTTCATTTCTAAAATGTCAAGTAAGACTTCATAGGAACGTAATTTTACATTATTTTCATTTTTTCATTATTCATTATTCATTTTCATTTGTAAACACAAGATCAAATTTTAGTAGATGCCGAAAACGAAAATAAGTAAATACCCAATAAGACCTCGCCCAACCATACAAATTGATCGTCTAGATCCTGAAGATAGAGAAGAAAAAGTTAGAGAATGGTTTAAAAAGAAGGAGAAAGAATCGAAGAAGAAAGCGAAAAAAAGGCATACAAAAAAGCGTATATGTAAATGATTCAATTTAATTTAAAAACTTTCTAAAATATCATTCATTCATCCTCTTATTTTTCATGCAATTGACTTGTTAATTAATAAATAAGATTTATAATCACTGGATTTTCGAGTATAAGACTGAATACCTTAAGGAAAATGTTGGAAAAAGCTTTGAGAAAACGTGATGAATAAAACAACCGTACTTCTTGTGATCTGCTTAATGACTAACTGTCATATCTTTATTTTAAATGAACATAGAACAAAACATTGACAGAGGTATGATTCACATAAAACACAAAAAGATAGTTACAACAACGTACAATAGATAGAACCATACATCATTTATATAGGTAACGAGGTAAATTAGGCAATTTTCAATATTACAACCAACGGAAAAAAAAGATCAAAATATTGAAAAATTAAATAAAAAATGTTACATAACGACTCAAAAATATTTTAGCATACATTAATTCAGAATATGAAACACTTTTTCGATTTATCCTTTTACAGTGATATAAGGGTGAGTTTACAGAACGTCTGCAACTTTGCAGATCTGCAAATATGGCGGCAACTTTGAAAATCTGCAAATATGACTGACTTACACATGCAAGTATCAAGTTTTCGTATTCCAAATTTGGGTTTAGTGTTGTTGGGGGTAATAAACCACAATAAGTATTGCGAATTTGCAGATATTTTTTGGAATACTTGCATTTGTAAGTCCGCCATATTTGTAGATCTGCAAAGTTGCAGACGTTCTGTAATCTCACCCTAAATCGGTAAGAATTTATCGTTCTACGTCGATAGCAGGAATTAGATTGTTCCTGGTGTATTTTTTAATTTTTTAATCAACTTCATCCTAACAGAGGCTTCATTACAATGGTAGACTTTGTATAATACTCGTATTTACATGTATATACAAGACTGCACAAAAAAAGCCGTTAGCGTCTGAAAATAGTAGCCATCTTAAGAGCAAACCGAACACCTTGAAAATGTATAATTCATTCTGAGCCTTTATTTTTAGTCCGATTTTTGTGAAATTTTCAGGAAATACCAATAATAACAAAACTTATGTTGGAGAAACCTTGAATTGTTTAAAACATTTACGCGCCATTCTGTTTTAAATCTATAAAAAATTACTATTTTTTGTTTTAATAAATATCTAGTAGTTTTTAAATGGAATGCTTTCCCACCTTTTTTTCTTAAACGTCTCTGTAGAGTGCTGCCTTATGGTTTCACAAAATTAAAGCTCTCAATATTGTCAAGACACATAATATCATAATTATTCCCAATTCCATGCATATAAATACAATTTTATATTAGAAAATCCTTAAAACATTTTTGTTTTCGCGAGAGGTCTTGTTTCCTCTTAAAGCTTAAGTTAGCAATATTGTTTTGATGTTCATTTGCTGAAATCAGATTTATCGTTTTTCCAATAATTATATTCTAAGAAATGAGACAAATCTACTTATATTGAGTATTGAGTACATAGTACATGGTATCATACATTGAGTACATCAAGTTTACCCGCAACATCTTTCTGACAGTCCGCTCTTCCTACGTTGTCAAATCTCTTTCATCAAATATAATGCATCAAATTTCAATTAAAAAATTTACTATTCCCTTTAATTTCCTTTAATATTCATTACAATCACTTAAAGGCAACAGTACAAGTGTGGCCAACTAGTTGGGCCTAATCAGAACAGTGATTATACGTTGGTGGAGTTGCACAGTCTGCATTAGGCCATTTGACGAGATCTTTTGATGTGTGCACGAAAAACCGACAACATTCAGTTTGTAAACCAACGCTGGCCGCCAACACGTAGTTACGCCAAGTGATTTTGTACACGTTGGCCCAATTAATTGGCTCAATTAGTTGGCCAAACGTGTACTGGGCCCTTAATATTTTTATTTATTGTCTTTTACACGTGTATCGTATGTGGATATTGAACATTTTGGTTCCTAATCTTTAAGTTTGGCAACCTAAGACATTTCGTTGACGGCTTAAATTTTATTGTGCTTTTTGAGATTCTCGAGAAAAATTTGAACTGTTTGATAAGGATATTTAGGATGATAAGAAAATGTGTAGTGTGCCAAAATATGTGTAATAAGAATGGTTATGAGGTCATTTTATCAATTAAGTAAGGTTTTATTAGAATAGACGGATGCACATATAGGGATTTATTTAACATTGTAATGGCATGTATAAAATTTTCTCTGATTACTTTCCTAAAAGAGTTATACTGTCATACTGAAAGTAGGTGTCGTGACGTGCAATTGAAAGGGCATGTTTTGGTAAATATTCTATTATTTGTATATTTGTGTCTGAAATAAAGTTGTTCTATTGTTTTTAATAAGTTTTTAATTTCATGAAGGAAGGTAATCTTGACAATACTGATGTTTTTTTTAACAATGATACTAGAATAACAACTTTCATACATTAAAAAAACTGTTTCTCCTCCAATTTGAGCTATATAAGTTATTAACATTTATAATCAATCAATAATTTTTATAAAATCTAAATAAACCCTCCCGAAACACTACGTCTATGAGCGACGTACGATACCCTTTTCTCCTTTTTATGATGCGGACAAAAGATGTATTAGTTTAAGTGTGGAGGGCGAGTCGATCTAAAGGCACGTTCTCACGGGTCAAGTTTATTTGACCGATTTTAGTTAATCAACAAAAGTTGAATACAACTTGAATCAATTGTTGTTCACACATCTCAATATAAACTGAATTATTAGTTTCAATGTAAAATGGCGTCGAATGCAGTTGCGCGTGAATGTGTAAAGATTACTTCACTTCGTAAGAAATGTCGTTTTTGGATGAGGCAGTGGATTCTGAGAAGAAATACATTGGAAGCATCAGAAACCTTGTAAAGGGAGCTGGCTTTAGAGAATAAAGAAATGTATATAAATGATTTTCGAATATTTGAAGAGAAATTCGAGGAACTGCTCTCAAAAGTTCAGGATGGCATAAGAAAACAAGATACAGTCATGCATCAAG